AAGAAGGCTGATGGGCCAGTGAATCAGAGGATGACGTGGAGATAAATGACACATGGGATCTGGAAGTCAGCCCACTCACACCTGTAAACCTTCATGCTTGAGCAATGGCCTTTGAACAGACAGATGCATACAATGAGCTCCTGGGGACATGAGAATGTCCAGGAGAAACTACAGCCTCGCCCAGTGGGAGGAGATTTCCATTCAGAAAGAGCCTGAAGTGAAGAATTATGGGATAATTCCATAATGAGAGGGACTAATATTTCACCCTGCGTCAGGGCTTTGTTATACTGCTTTGGGCCGGTTCCTGGGAGAAGTTATCAGCCATACAATGGCATTTTGTTTTCCGTGTAGAAATCACCATTCTTTCCAGTCCAGTGAGAAGTCACTAGAAGACCACTTGCCTGCCTTAAAAAGGCCTGTTTGTAGAAGAAATTTGTAAGGGTGTCTGAAGATTTTAGTGGAAGAAGAGTAAATCCATTATACTAGTTCTTGAATCATTAATTAATAAGGAAAGATTACAAGGAGCCTTTCTGAGCCTGGCACATTCTATTTGGATTGGATGATTGTTATGGTGTTACTTATATTGGATAATTCGGAATTGGGGAAATGTACAAATGTCTGAATTTTGTACGATTGCTGCTGAGATTATAGTGAGAAGCCACACCTCTGTGGACAGGAGTGTTTTCTCCTGAAGGGAATGTACAGTCCCTCTGTCAATCACTCTGGGTAGAAATTAATCCTAGAGTGTCAACCAAGGACCTGACAGACGCAACATAGAAAAGAGGAAGTGGACACTTCTTTGCCCTGTAAGGCCAGAGTCATTTTGATCTAGACTTGAGGTTCTCTTAGTTGCCTGGCGCATTTCCATGGGGAGGGAGAGATTGCTGGGAGGTGTACTTGCCAGGGGAAGACAGGAAGGGAGGGAGGCAGACAGGGATTCTGGGATGGCTCTTATCCTGGGCAGCAGTGCAGTATTAGAGGTTCTTCTTCTCCTTCTCTGCCTCCCTCCCCCCTCTCACCCTGTCCTCTTCCTCCTCCTTCTCCTTCTTCAATTTTATAGGTTATTCTTAACTTCAGTTGTCTATTATCCTCAGGTCTCTAGTAGTTTTTTGAAATGACCAAAAAGTCAAGGCTGTTCTCAGTGGTGTTCTGGGAAATTAGTGGAGAGCCCTAGTCACACTTTGGAAAGATGATACAGAAAAAGCAGTGTCTTCTCTTGGAACCTGAGTGGCTGTAGCAGAGATGGTTACTCTTGGAGGAAAAAGACCACTCGGTTCCCAAGTATGAGGAGGGAGTCTCTCTGAAAGAGTAAGTGGATAGATGAAGGAGGGCTAATTTCCAAAAATAAAGTCTGCAAGAGCTCCTGGCATTTAACACAGTATCCCTCACAGCTGATCCAACGAGTCATTTGTTCAATTACTGTTTATTACTATGACCATTTATTTTAAGCAGCATTCTCAAAGTGCTTCTGAGCTACTGTATCATGCAGAATTGATTTTATGTCTTAAGAAGGACTGTTCAAGATTAATCTTTTACTTGGTTTTAATTTAAGCTTTTCACCATTTCTCTTTCCCTACTAGCAAGTTCATTCCAAACATCATATAGTGGCCCTGGTTGTATTTTATAGGCATGTTTGAGGAGACCCACACTGGCTATGTCACCGCCAATGTAAGCCACAGAGGTGAGTAGGTGTGTGAGACCAGCACCTGTTGGCATGGAGTTGTTGCAAGGCAGGCTTCTCAGTGGGCCAGGGGTCAGCTCCCACCTCTTAAGGTCATTACCTTTTCTGTGGCCAGAGATTCCTCCTAAGTACACACAACTCTTCTTAATAATCTTAAATTTGCTTTCTTCTGAAAATTTTAGAATTTACTGAAAATTGTAGAAGATAGAATTTACCAGAATGGATTCTTGAAGTTTTGTATTTCAGCCTAAAATCACTTCCCTTTTTGATTCTTTATTATTCTTGCTCTTACCCTTCAAACCAAGAAAGTAACAAGGGAAAATAATACATTTCTTTTCCATTTTTGTACATTATCCTTTTAGGAGTGGCTTCCAACTGCTTTGGTAGTTTGGGAAATGGGGTATTAAAATAAAGACATTTCAGAATCACTCTTTATGCTTCATGATGTCTCATGATGACTTAAAGTTAACTTCATTGTAGAAGATCCAGTTCTCACTATATTCAAACCGAGGCTCGTATTTTAAATAGATTTTCAACAAACTCATTTTATATTATAATTTACATAGGAAAAATAAAAGCAATTTTAATTTATCCTCAAGTCACATCTATGTTTTAATTATAACTGCCTACAATGATTCTTCCAATCTGTAAAAATATATTTTTCATTAGAACTTAGTCTAATCTACTCATGATGGACAAGCACATGCTAGAGCAAAACAGGACTCCAGTTATAAAGTACTCTTATTGCACCTCAAATTTGCCACATAAATTGAAAACATCCCCAATATGCTTTCTTGCAGTATTTCTGGAACAGACGCCTATGACTTTTATTTTGTAGAAGCTAAAAATGGAAGCTCAGAGTAACTGTTCCATAGTCAGGAGGCTTAGCAATCTCCTCAATTACACAGTATAGCTGAAACAACCAGTTAATAGCTATCTTATGGTTTTAGTCGTTTGGATGACAGTAAAAAACCGGTTAGATTCATTCTAGATGACAAAATCAAAATCATTGAAAAGTAGGACTACTTAGAAAAAAGAAAAACATTTCAAAGACTTTTATTCTGTATGAATTAAGGGAAAGCTATAGGAAGACACAACAGATTACAGATGAAGTTAACCAGTTCATTCACTCACCAAAAATGATAACTCCATAATTGTAGTTAGTAACCATTTTGCAGATTGTGTTCTTCATCTTTTCCAGGATGAGATTCAACTCCTCAGCCTGGTTTGTTTTAAGCCTATCTTTCTAACCTAATTCCTGGTCATAGGACTTCTTCTGAAATCCAGGGGTTCTGAAAAAACTCCCTTTTGGTTTCCATGTTGGAGAAAGCTGTTTAGAAGGGCTCTCTAGTGCTTCAACATGCTCCTGCCCTCTCCTTTTCTCTGTTGATTCTTATCTCAAGCATTAGTTCTCAGTTCTGGAGGCTGAAGGTCCAAAATTAAAGTGCTGGCCTATGATTTCTTTTTTTTTTTTTTTCCTATTTGATTTCTAATGAGAACTCTCTGGTTTGTAGACAGCCACCTTCTCACTGTGTCACACATAGAGAGAGACAGAGAGAGACAGAGAGACAGAGACGGAGATGGAGAGAGAGAGAAAGAGAGAGAAAGGGAGCTCTTCTCATAGGGACACTAATTCCATCAGATCGGGGCCCCACCATCAGAACCTTGTTGATGTTACTTCCTTATAGGCTCTATCTCGAAATGCAGTCATACAGAGGTTAGATCAACACATGAATTTTGAAGGGACACGGTTCAATCCATGGCATCATCTACATTACAGGAAAGCCATGATTCATGTGTTTCTAAAGGCTGGCTGTGGCCAGAGGAATCTCTCATAGACCTTCCCTGAGGTCTTGGGTGGGGTGAAAATGACTGAAGCGGAGAGAAGTTTGGAGACCTTTCTCTGAGACAGAGGCCTCTGTCATACAGAGGCTTCCAGAGGTGAGACAGGATTTCTGATGTGTGCCCTGGATGCCTCAGAGATGGGACTGGATGCTGAAGTAACTGTCTAAATCCTAAGAGCCTATGAGTTTCAGGGAAGCCCCAGACTTCAGTCTACAAGCCTACTGGGAAGACCAGAGCCAGATGAATGAAGGTGGTGGCATTTTCCATGATTAATCTGGACTATCTGAGGATTCTGACTTTGGAACTTGGTACATCGACTTTGAGGAGCAGCAACACATCTAAGAAGTTCTTTCTGAATCTTCTAAGGCTGAATCAGCAAGAGGCTTCAAGAACATAAAATTTCATCTACAGAGAAATAAAGCAACGTGCCTAGGTGTTATAAGTGACCTCTCTATTAAAACATTTACCATTTTGGGCTAGGATGCTTGCCTTTACTCTCTTCTAGAATTTGGGTTACTCTGGGCAGGAACTGGGTTTTCTATATTCTCTTCCTCTAGCCCTTCACTCAATGCCTGACCAATCTTGAACCCTGATACATGTTTGTTGAGTGATATTGCATTGCAAGCCTCATTTTAGAACATAGGGTTCCTGTGATACTTTCCTTTTACTGCAAACTGAAAAATGGCACCTTAGTACAATTACCACATAATCACTAAATCGAATATTTACATATAAGCACAAATTCTTTCTTAGAAGGTTCATGTAAGGTCACAAAATTGGCAATAAAGCAAGCTCTGGGGGCCCCTGGGTGGCTCAGTGGTTCAGCGGCTGCCTTCAGCTCAGGTCCTGATCCCCGGGGTGCTGGGACCAAGACTCACATCAGGCTCCCCACAGGGAGCCTAACCTGCCTCTCTCTCATTCTCTCTCTCTCTCTCTCTCTCTCTGTTGCTCATGAATATATATTTATATATATTTTTCAAATTTTTCTTTAAAGAAGGCTCTGAATGCAATCACTCGAATGTTAGGTACTTAAAACGGTCAGATATCAGAGTTTCTTCTACTTGGTTTTAATTTCTGGTATACCACATGCCAGTTTATTCGCGCCACTTGGGATACCCCCCAACTCCCCCCGCCCCCGCCCTTGTTTATCTTCCCAGGGTAGTCCAATTCGGAAAGAGTGCATAAATGCTGTATTAACCAGGAGACACTGCCCGGCATCTGATCCGGCGCTCAAGGGAGGATCCGGTGATCGGATCACAGGCGCGTTCCCGACCCCCGGGGGCCCGTGATTCGGGTCCCGCAGCGGGACTGCGCGCGGGCCGACCTGGGCGGCCGAGGCGCGCGGAGGGCGGGGCGGGGCGGGGCGCGGAGGGCGGGGCGCGGAGGGGCGCGGGGGGCGGGGCGGGGCGCGGCGCCGCGGGCAGGCGGGGGGCGTGGGAAAGCCGGCGGGCGGGGGCTGGGACCGCTTTCTCGGGAGCCAGCGCTCGGCGCGGCCGCCGGGGAGCGGAGGGCAGGCTCGGGCAGCTCCCCGGCTCCCCGCGTGATAAAACTTGGGCAATAAGCAGGAGGGGCGGCTCGGCGTCTCCCGGCTCCAATCCCGTCCGGGGACCGCACACGCTCCCGGGCAGGCAAGCGTGACAGAGGCCCAGGGAGACTTAAAGAGGAGTGGCGGCGAGGCACGCCCGCACCCGCGCGCGCCGCCGCACCCCGTGGGCTCTCGCCTCCCGCCTCCCGCCTCCCGCGCGGCGCCCCGATGGCCACGGCCGAGCCCCGGGTCCCCGGGCGCGGAGCGCTGCGCGCGCTGCTGCTGACCGTCGCGGTGAGTGGGAGCCCGCGGGGCGGACCCACAGCTGGGGGCCGCGGCTCCGCTCAGTCCTCCGGGCGGGACGAGCCACATTCGGGCCCGGGCGGGTGAGGGCGGAAAACCAGCCTTGTGGGGACGACTCGGGACTGAGTTTTGCGTTTGGGACGCCGCGTCGGAGTGTTGGAGGCACGGGGCGGGGGGGGGGGGGGCGCTCCGGCGTGGCTGCGCGCTCTGAGCCTCCGCGGGCGCCTGGGGCCGCGCTCTTCCCCTGGCGCCCCGGGCCAGTGATGGCATCTGGGGCGCGGCGGGGTGGAGGGGGACGAGCAGTACCGGGGCAGGTATTTCGGGATCCCCGAGTGAGCAAAACAGACGTGAGATGAGGTTCTAGAGGCTGCTCCACCCCAGGGTCGCCTGGGATGGGGACCTTACTTAGTGCGTGGAGGGGCTGGAGCGGTGCCCCTGGGTCCCCGCGTGGAATTAACTCTGAAAACCGGCTTCCAGATTTTGCCTCTGCTTAAGGTTATTCAGAGCCCCCCGCGCGAGCCTCCTGGCCCCGGGGCGACGTGGGCCTCGAGCACGAGGGCGTGCGAAGGCTGGATCGGGGCTGGGGTTGGGGTTACTGGTGTGATGCGGGGAGGGGGGCTGCAGGGGTGGGGCACCCTGTGGGTGGAGGGGCGGTAGGCGTGGGTTTGGGGGGCAGATTGTCCGGCCCGGGAAGGACCACGCGAGCCCGGAGCCCAGCTGCCGGTCTTCTGGACGAGATTCTCCTGGAGAGGAGATTGGGGACAGTTCTCCGAGAATTTGGGAGACATTCGGCGAAAAATCCGGCACTCTGATGGCGCGATTACGCGCGGGGCTTCAGACTACACCAGGGTTGCTCTCGGGAAGAGGAGAGGAGCCGCAGACCGCGTGCCCGCAGCCAGGCATGGGCGTGGGGTCGGCCGGTGCCCAGCGGACCCAAGTCGGGAGGAGGTTGGCTCTGGCCGCTCGGGTTCCTGCTCCTCCTCTGCCCCAGCAGGGCGAGCCGATCCAAACTTTGTCTTGTCCTTGAATCAGCGACTTGTACATATTGGGTGGGTATTTATGGACGGCGAATTGTACAGATGAGCGCGGTGATCGGCAAGGCAGCTGTTCCAATCCCGCTGATGAAACGACTCTTGACTAGTGGGAACTGCCCTCAAAGTATGCCCTTTTGTGATGAATTTGGAAGAGTTTCCAGTTTTTATGTTTAAAAGCGTGGCTTTCCTGTTTTGTGTTGTCTCTGCGAAAGGGATTGGGGAATGGGGAGAAGAAACTGCAGAGGGCCTGTGTTCCCAAGATTTCCTGTGCGTTCGCTGGAGGGGAGGGTGTGGAATTCAAGGAGCTGTCTGGGGGACAGGGATGGTGGTGCAGGTGTTAGGGTGTGGCAAGGCAAGAAAGTGCGTGTTAATCTAAATGGAGATTGCGTCACCTCTACTATTTGACATATTCATTTAGGATTATTTTAAAAAGGAATTGCCTAAAGGTTAGACCAACTGGGATATCTGGAGACTTGAGTACTGGAGAGTGTACATAGAATAATTACTTTCATCCCAAATCCCCAGTCTACAAATACCTTCAGTTTTCTGCCTCCATAGACCTCTATTGACCATCTTCTGTTTGCATTTCCTTTTGACTCATAGGGCTCTCGGCTTTGGCTTTCTCAGCATAGTATTAATGGCATAACACTTTAGAGACACTTTTCTCATTTTATAGATACTTTCATGGATCTCTGAAAAACAATTCCTTGTTTGAAGTGAGACCTCTTCAAAGCAGATCTTTAACACAAAATTGAGGCTTTTAACAGGTTAGCCTTCCCATTCGGATGCCCCATAAGCTGAGGAATCTTCTCATTTGTACCCTTCTCCTGCATCTCCTGCATCCCTTTAAGAACTCTCTATCCTTACACTCTAAACTACTGCTACAAAATAAATTCCTAATGACCGCTCCCACCATACACATAAGAAGAAAAAAAAAAAGGAAAAAAAGAAGAGGAGTGGGGCCAGGACTAGAAAATAAACATGCCAGACCATCCCACAACAGTTGAAAATACTGAATATCTCTTAAAATGTTTCTCCTCTGAATGTAACAAAAATTGAAATGAATTTCCATTAGCTCAGTTGTTCAGCTGTCCTGCCACATTACAGATACCGAGTTCCTTTCAAATATGCGTCTAATATTGTTCACTGTATCAAATCCACTTTGGGAATTGTTATTTATTATGTATTTTAAATGGTACATTCTTGGGCATAGTGAATCTTTCATTTTGCTAAAAGGACTCTTCAAAAAGAATGAAAAATATTTTCCTTTCTAGCATAGCATAGTTTTCCCTACCTGCCACCTATGCTGACAAACGGGATCCTATCTTTTCAGATTTTATAGCATTAATTAACAAGAATAACGTGCCTCCTTTAGCAGACGTCTTTGTTGTTGTTCTTGATAACATTTGACATATTCGTCTTCTAAAAATAAGAGTACAAGAATTTCTATTAACTTTTGCATTAGTGACAAAAAGGCTAAGGCCAACAAAGGGAGTAAATGAGAACTAGTTTATTTTAAAACCACGATTCTAAGAGAGTCAGAGTTTTGATATATATTTGATGGGTGCATTGTCACCTAGCTTTTTAAAAGGAAATCGTTGATGTTCATATTGAGATACAGCTAGATCCTGAAACACTTTCTGAATCACTAAATATATGTAAGCCTATGCACATTTTTTGGTCCTATTGTAATCCCCTTGGCAGCTAGCATTCCATATATGGAATCTGTGGTCACCTGCAGTTAATCATGCTTTCTATTTAACTAGAATTCCTGTCTTACAAAGAGGTTAGAAAGAAATTTATTAGTGTGATCTAAGTACTGAGAGTACAGAGAAGTCAATCTTTTGATTTACCTTTGAGCTGGTAAGAATTTTCAATTCTTTGATTAACACAAAAATCAGCCATTAGCGATTACCTGTGTTATAGGGGTTGTGGGAAGGAAGAAAATGCACCTGAGGAGAAGTGTATAGAAACTTTGAAAATACCGGTAATATTTTAATTCTTAACTTTGAAGGTGAGCATGTTAGTGTTCATTTTATAATTTTTTAAAACATGCTTATATGCTATATATATATAGCCTTTTGTATTTTTGTCTTACAAAGAACGCTAAAAGAAACAAGCAACACAGAGGATCAACAAACCAAAAGCTATTCTTTGAAACAGTACATAAACTCTGCTGTGGTTGAACAAGTAAAAAATAGAGAAGGCAAAGATAAAGCAATATTAGGAATAAAAGGAGACATAGTCAGAGAGAGGACAGATGTTTTAGATAAATAGTTAATTTAAATGTGTTATTTCAATTAATTTGAACAGACAGAATGAGAAATTTCCTGCAAAAAAGAAATTACTAACTGACTCAAGAAGATATACAAAACCTAAATAGACTGAAAACCGTTAAAGATATTGAACTGAAAGTTAAATATCTTGAAACACAGACACCTTCATATCCATCAAGCTCAGTACTGTGATAGGTAAATTCTTCCATAATTATATGGAACAGATAATCTCTACCATATATAAATTGTTTCCAAGAACAGAAAAAAGTAGAATTGTCTTTAACATTTTATAGGGATTGTATGATATTGAAAAGTAGTAGCCTGATTTCACTTATGGACATATATTTGAAATAATAAAATAAATAGCAAACCAAACCAATAGTGTATTTAAAAAGCTATCATGTCCATGTAAGATTTGTCTCAGGAATGGGAAGATGGTTTCATATTACAAAATCTATTATTGATTTTTTTTTGTTTTTTGTTTATTTTTGAGAGAGAGAGGAGAGAGAGAGAGGGAGACCAATCATGTGTGTGTGTGCACATATGAGTGGGAGGAGGGGTAGAGAGGGAGAGAGAGAATTCTAAGCAGGTTACATGCCCAGCATAGAGCCCAGTGCATCTAGATCTCGCCACCCTGAGGTCATGAGCTGAGTGGAAATCGAGTCGGTCACTTAATTGATGATCCACCAGGTGCCTTGGAAAACCATTGTTGTATTTTAACATAACATATTCAGAGAGAAAAACTATGTTTCAAAAAAGTGGGAAACTATATTAATTGCTATAAAATATTCTTAGCAGACTGGGAATGTAAGGGAATGAACTTTTTTTAACACATTAAAGTATGCCTAACAAAAATTAATTAATGAAAAAAGACAGGAAGAAAGAATGGAAAAGAAAAGAGGAAAGGGAAGGAAGGATAGAAGGAAGGAAGTCATAATGAATAGTGAAATGGCAAAAGCATTATCTTTAATGTTAGAAAAAAATCCACAATGCCCATTATAGCTGTTCCTATTCAGTATTCTACTGGAGGTCCTGATAAGCACATATATCAGATAAAATATGTAATAGTAATAATGAAAGAGGTTAAGGATTTAAAGAAAGAAATCTGATTGCCATCTTGCCACCTATAGGATTGGCTACATGGGAGATCCTACACTATCTTGACAGACTACTGGAATTAGTAAAAGTAAACAAGTTTCCTGGATAAAAAACATAGAAAGATTTTTTATGGAATTAGCTGATCATAAGAAGTTTTTTAAAGAGTAGGAGGCTAACAAAAGCAAACATAATTTAAAGGAGATAATAGGGATTGGGACCACCATAACAAACACTAAAGTTTATAATAAAGCTATATTCATGAAAACTATATATAGTTGATGTAGAGATAAACATATATATTGATGAAATAATTCAGAGGGTACAGAAAAAGATTCTGTAATTGATGTCCATGCATATGATGTATGCAGCATTATTATTGTGAGTTAAGAATGAAAGAATTGCTCAGTGATGGTTCTAGATAGTTGTCTACCATATGGCAAAAGAGAAGATTAGATATCTACAGTGCATCACACTCTTGATGAGTAAAAGATTAAAATGTTGGAAGTAACTTTAAAAATTTTTAAAGAAAATACTAGATAATATGTTTATGACAGGGTAGGGGGGAGATATTAATACAAAAAGTATAAGCTAGGAGAAGTGTTTAATGAAATTGACTACTTTAAAAAACTAAAGGAGGGGTGCTGGGTGTCTCAGTGGGTTAAGTGTCCAACTCTTGGTTTTGGCACAGATGATGAACTCATGGGTTTTGAGCTCAAGCTCCGAATTGGGCTCAGTGGGGCTCAGCAGGGAGGTGGGGATAGAGGGGCATGTATGTGTTTGCTTGAAGATTCTCTCCCTCTACCCCTCTTGTGCTCTCTCTCTTTCTCAAATAAATAAATAAAATCTTTAAAAAAAACTGAAGGAAATACTTAATAAATTTGACTACCTTAAAAGTGAAGCACTGTTTATCAGAAAGATACCACTAAAAGAATAAAAAAGCAACCTACATATCCTACAAGTAAAGTGTAATAAAAATAGACAAATAATACATAATACATGAAATGATTAAATGAGAGGAATGGATAATTTACAGAAGGTAAAAGGCAAATTAACACAAGAAATTATAATCTCACCTGAAATTAAGAAAATGCACATTAAATTGACACCTATAGAATGCGCAAAAAAATAGAAAAGCCAAGTATAATTAATTGTAGTGGAGGATGTGAGAAATAGAAGGGTCTAATATTCTGGGGGACAGTAATATAAATTGATGTTAGTGATTTAGACAGCAATTTGGCAATAGTTAATGGAATTGTAGTAATATATTTCTATCTTAATATTCTGTACCTGCAAAGCTGGTTATTGCAGTGTCATTTGTAATAGAGAAAATGGAAAATAAGAATACAATCTAAATGACTATCATAGGGGAATGAGCAAAATAAACTGTGATATAGTCACAGAAAAATCTTAAATACATTGTTGAGTGAGTATTCATTGTTGAGTGAACAAATTCATTGTTGAGTGAAAAATGCAAGTTGCAAAAGGATGCATAAAGACACTTATCAGCTTATATTTTATAAGCACATACATATATAATAATAAGTACAAAAACTTACAGAGGAAGTATAAATGCCAAATTAGAAAAAAACTCTTCCTTAAGAGAGAGAAATGGAAATGGAGTAGAACATAGCCACATGTGTACATTTTAATTTAAAAAATGAAGCAAAAAGGCACCTGGATGGCTCTGTTGGAAGAGCATGAAACACTTGATCTCGGGGTCATGAGTTTGAGCCCCATGTTGGATGTAGAGTTTACTAAAAATAACAAACAAAAACAAAAAAAATGAAGCAAAAATTGCAAAATATTAATTTAAAAATCTAAATAAATACATGCACATTTATTATAGTATGTTCTATTTGAATTAAATATTTCATATTTAACTTCAAATTCGTTTTTTTTAAGATTTTATTTTATTTATTCATGAGAGACACAGAGAGAAGAGAGGCAGAGAGATAGGCAGAGGGAGAAGCAGTCTTCCCATGGGGAGCCGGATGCGGGACTCAATCCCAGGACCCCGGGATCATGACCTGAGCCTAAGGCAGACGCTCAACCACTGAGCCACCCAGGCGTCCCTCAAATACTTTTTAAAGAGTTGTGATTAAAATATATTGAACATGGCTTTCTTTTGATAGTCTGAAATACGAACTATAGAGTTCACACATAGTTGGATCAATAGGTGCATTATTAAAAACCATTTTTCACTTATGGTGACAACTATATTCTTAGGGATAATATTCAATTGAGCATTTATAATATGGTTGAGTTATTTTTAACAGCATATAACTTACTGCTTTATTTTCCCAGCAATCTGATTATGACTCTGTGATGGTGACTTTTTTGTTATATTTAAATTAAATGACACTGTTATATGTTGAATCTATTTTTGAGTTGTTTTCCTTAACTAATTCAAGCAGGAATAAGATAGATCTTACATTGCAGTAACATTTAGAGCACATATTAGTAAAGATTTGGTTGTGCGTATGTATATGCATATATATTTACAGTTTGTTACCACCGTGACTTAAAGTCTTAATTTTGAAAAGGAATTTGTTTTATATTTGATTATATCAGAAATGAAATACTTTGTAGTTATTATCCAATTTTGTCTTGCTGAAATTATGCAAATTTGTAAATTTGAAGGTGCTTCTCACTGCCAATTTGTAGAGGTGGGTGTGCAAAGAATGCTTTTTATATCAATGACAATGTAATCCATTTTTTAAGACTGTTTTTGATGCTATACTTTATATTCCAAAGGACTTACCTATATTGTAAACAGTTTAATAGCTTTTCACAAATTTACAAACTGTGCAATCATTACCACAATCTAATTTTAGAATATTTCTATCACCTTAAAAAGAAACTTCATGCTCATGTACAGTCACTTGCCAGTCCTACCCCAGCGCTATGCAACTACTCTAGTCTGTTTCTATATATTTGCTTTTTTGGGCATTTAATATAAACAAAATCATACGATATGTACTCCTTTGTGTCATTTCTTTCAATGAGCATGTTTTTAAGGTTTATTTGTGTTGTAGCATTGCATCAGTTCCTTTTCTCTTTTTATGGCTAAATAATATTGCATTTGAATGTGCACATTCTATCTATTTGTAGAAAGATAGCCCAGTGCATTGTTTTCATTCTTTTGCTACTGTAAATAATGTTACTGTGAATATTCATGTCCTAGTTTTTGTGTCGATGTAGGTTTTCATTTCCTGTGAGTAGGAGAGAAATTTCTTGTTTATATGTTAATTATGTGATTAGCTTTTTAAGAAACTGCCCAACTATGTTCCAAATTTGCTGCACCATTTTATGTTTCCACTAGTAGTGCATGAAGGTTCCAGTTTTCTTACATCCTTGGCAACACTTGTTATTTTTCTATCTTGTTTATTTTGGCCATCCTAGTGGGTATCTCATTGTGATTTAAGTTGTTTGCATGACTATAGTGCCTAATGATGTTTGGCATCTTTTCATCCACTTATTGACTATTTATGTATTTTCTTTGGATAACATCTATTCAAATCCTTTGCCCCCCCCCTTTTTGTTCTGGTGTTTGTCTTTTTATTATTGAGTTTTAAATGTTTTTAATTTTTTTGGTATAAGTCCTTATTATGTGATTAGAAAATATTTTCTCTCATTCTGTAGGTTGTAATTTCATTTTCTGTATGGTATTTTTTAAGGAGCAAAAGTTTTAAATTTGATTAGTAAGTTCTATTAATTTTTCTTTCATCATTTATGCTTTTGGTGTTAGACAATATCATTGCCTGACCCAAGATCATAAAGAGTTATTCTACAGTTTTCCTATAAATAGTTTTAGTTCCTTAGGTCTGTGATCCACTTTGAATTAATCTTGTATAATATGAGGTATGAGGTATGAGGTAAGGGTACAAATTCATTTTTTATTGAGGATATTTAATTGTCTCAGCACCCTTGAAAAGACTATTTATTTCTCTTGGAACTTTCTGAAGTCTGCTCAAAATTGGCTAGCCACAAAAGTAAAGGCTAATTTATGGGATTTCAGTCCTATATATGTTTATCCTTATGCCAGTACCACTCTGTCTTGATTGTTGTATCTTTAGTAAATTTTGAAATTGGGAAATGTAAGTCCTACAACTTTGTTGCTTTTTAAGTTCATGTGGGTCTTTAGGTCCCTTGCATTTCTATAAGGATTAGTTTTTAATTTCTGAGAAAAAGCTTTTTGGGATTTTAATAGAGATTACATTGACTCTGGTGAATTTTGGAAATTTATCTTCTGATCCATGAAGATGGTACATCTATTATGAATGGAAATAGTTGCTTACTTTTGTTTTCAGATTTTTTTTATTGCTGGTATATAGAGATGCAGTTGGCTTTTGTGTGTTGATCTTGTATCTTGGAACCTTACTGAATTCATTTATTTTTGATAGTTCTCTTAGTGGATTCCTTAGGATTTTCTATGTACAAGATCAAATCGTCTACAAATAGAGACTCTTGCTCCTTCCTTCCCAATCTAGAAGCCTTTAGTTTGTGTGTGCGCATGTGCAATTGCCCTGTCTAGAAGCCCCCATATAATGTTGAATTGAACTGGTGAGAGAGGGCATCATTGTTTTGTTCCTGATGTCCAAGGAAAGCATTCAGTCTTTCTCCATTAAGTATGATGTTGCTTGTAAGTTTTCCATAGATGCCCTTTATCATGTTGACCAATTTCCTTTCTATTCCTGGTTTGTTGACGGCTTTTAATTGTAAATAGAGGTTAGATTTTGTTTATTGCTTGCATCTATTGAGATAATCATGTGTTTTGTTCTTTATTATTATTTTTTAAAAACCACTTTATTGAAGTAAGATTGACATACAAAAAGCTGTACATATTTAACATATACAACTTGATGAGTAAGTATACATCTGTGAAATCGTCACCACAATCTATGACAGATCTATCCATCATGTCTAAAAGTTTCCTTTCATTCCTTCATCAAATTTCATTTTTTTTCATAAAAAAGTTTCATTTTTATTTGTTATTTGTATTATTTTCTTATGATAAGAGCACCTAACATAAGATCTACCCTGTTAGCAAAAATTTAAGTATATAATATAGTATTGTTAACTATAGGCAGTATGCTACATAGAGCTCTAGGACTTGTTTTTCTTGTTTATCTTTATTTTATACTATATTAATGTGACTTGTTTTTTTTAATTCTAGGTCTTCAGTTTTGCTTGTGATGCCTGCAAAAAGGTGATATTTAATGTACCTTCCAAGCTAGAGGCAGACAAAATAGTTGGCAGAGGTGAGAAATTTCAAAATAAGTGTTTTTAAAACAGAAGTTTAGTTTACTTATGCAGAAGAGTGCATGTTATCCAATTTTTGCCTTTTGGTTTTACCCTTAATCTATTTATTCTTAAATACAATTCAAGATAGTTTTAAATTCTATCCTGTTCTTTATAAGTCCATTGAATCCTGCTCCAAATGTTCTAATCTACATTTTTGTAGTTGTTTATGTTTTAATAGCTTAAGGATCCCATAAAGAGTTACATGTAGGGGGCACCTGGGTGGCTCAGGTCGTGTCCTGGGGTCCTGAGATCTAGCCCCACATTGGTCTCTGTGCTGGCTGTAGAATCTGCTTGGGATTCCCTCTCTTCCTCTGCCCCTCCCTCCACTCACGCATGCTGTAAATAAGTAAGTAAGTAAGTAAATAAGTAAATAAATAAATAAATAAAATCCATAAAAAAAGTAAAATGTAGAACATAACCCTTTCATTATCCTAGTATTCTAAGCATTAGAGAAGTAGAGATAAGTTGCTGAGAAAATCAGCAGGTTTTGTTTGCTTTTTTTTTTTTTTTATCAGTACTAATGCTGCATTGAGGAATGTCACAAGATGAGCCATTCCATTCAAAACTGAACTTAATCAACCATTTCAACATGGAGAAATTAGAGAACTTTATAAACTTTCCCAACAGCTGGGAAACTCTACCTGGGTGGACTTTACATGTGATGTAGGGAATGTAAGAGGAAAGGATCTTGTTTTGTTTTATTTAAAAGGATATAGCTTATCCCAGACATACCAAATTCACCTTTTCAGCAAAGTGTCCCATCTTCTGGTTAAGTGTCTCATTTGATTTTTATTAAGCAAAGGTCACTTTAATTACTATGGGAAGGAAGAAAAAAGAGGATGTAAAAAAGAGGACAGGGAGAGACCAAGAGGTTCACATTATGCTAAACATGGGAAGATGAGAGAAATATGTCCTCATTCCTAAAGATGTTCACTTCTTTTTGATCCAATGTTTCCATCTGTGACAGATTGGGATTAAAGTGACAAGGCTTTACATGGGCAACCATAATCGCTTGAGAGGTTATTAAGTGAGCATTCATGTATCAGTTTGGTTGTTGTTAAAACTGAATGTTGAAGAATGAGATGAATTTGATACTCTTGATAGGAGTTTTGAACTGCTTAAATTGGTATTTATGTTGTATTATTTTTACTAGGGAAAACTCCAGGGAGAGTTTGAGTGAGGGGTCCTGGAAGGTCAGGAATAGGAACATACAGAACTGTGGGTGGAAGGGGAGCTGATGACTGGCAGGAGGCCTGTAACAGAAAAGTGCCAGTGGGAAGATTTCAGTGATAGACTTTTCTTACTGGACTATTTGCCAAATTCATACCCTCTGTCCCTCTTTGGGCTCATGTCTGTAACTTCTGGTTGAGTCTTAAAGGACTCAGACTATAGTGTCAAGGAAAACTACTCTGTTTGTTTATTCAGCTGTGCGTGGGGGGTAGCACAGCTTTGTCATGATTGCAACACACATGCCTCTGTGATAGGGACATCATTTTCATTAACTTTTAGAAGCATATAAAGATATAAAAACACCTTACTCAATACCTGTATAAAGTAAAAAAAAATACCTGTATAAAGTCAAGAATTATTTTTTAACTGAAAGACAATTATCATTTATTTATTTCTTTATTTTATTTTTATATTTTTTTAAATTTTTATTTATTTATGATAGTCACATAGAATGAGAGAGAGAGAGGCAGAGACACAGGCAGAGGGAGAAGCAGGCTCCATGCACCGGGAGCCCGACGTGGGATTCGATCCCGGGTCTCCAGGATCGCGCCCTGGGCCAAAGGCAGGCTCCAAACTGCTGCGCCACCCAGGGATCCCTATTTTATTTATTTTATTATTTTTTAAAGATTTTATTATTTATTCATGAGAAACACACAGAGCAGAGACATAGGCAGAGGGAGAAGCAGGCTCCCCACAGGGAGCTCAATGTGGGACTCAATCCCAGGACCCTGGAATCACACCCTGAGCCAAAGGCAGATGCTCTCAACCACTGAGCTACTCAGATGTCCCAGTTAATCATTTTTTATACATGTAAAGAAATGGGTTCAGATATTTGGTGAACGCAGAGGACTTGGTTTATTTTATTCTACTTCATGATTTTGAAGAAAATGTATACATTGTTTTCACACTTCTTTTTTTTTTTCTTTTTTGCTTGTGTTTCTACTTTACTGCTTGGAAACTTTTGCTTGCAGTGAATTTGAAAGAGTGCCTCAGGTCTGCAGACCTTATCCAGTCGGGTGACCCTGATTTCAGAGTTCTAGATGATGGATCAGTCTACACAGCCAGCCCTGTGGTGTTGTCTGATGAGAAAAGATCCTTCACCATATGGCTTTCTGACACTAAGACACAGACACAGAAAGAGATTAAGGTGCTCTTGGAACATCAGAAGAAGGTATTCAAAATACAGTGATATTTCTAGGCGTGTTTTTCTTTTCATTTAAATACTTAAAAAAAAGATTTTATTTATTCATGAGAGACACACAGAGAGAGGCAGAGACATAGGCAGAGGGAGAAGCAGGCTCCATGCGAGAACCCAATGTGGGACTCGATCCTGGGACCCCAGATCACTACCTGAGCTAAAGGCAGACGCTCAACCACTGAACCATCCAGGTGCCCCTCATTTTAAATACTTTCATTAAAAATTGCCAAGAGGACAAATGGATAAATCAGTTTTTATCCTCTTCTTTTCCCTCCCGTTCAGTTTGCTTTCCCTTCCTCCCTCTGTCTCCCCCTTCTTCCCCACCAACACTGGCTAAACATTGGCTTTGGGTTTTGCTTTGTTAAATCTAAATGGCACCTTCTTTGGGTTTTCAACACCCCGAGTCTAACTAATTGCTTATGTGTGTCATTGTCAGTTTAGTTACCCCTCTTTTATAAGCATTTGGATTTTTTAAATTTGTGCAATTTATCTATTGTTATGTCAGGGCATGAATTGATTGATCCCTTTTGTACTTATAGCCCCAGTAATACCTAACTCAAGTCAGTAGGTATATGTTAATGTTAAGAACAGGGTTTCCAGTGCATAAGAGGTTGATTTCAAGTGTCACAGTGACTGTGATGTTAAAATCCTGAAGTGTGGATAAGTATGAATGAACGTATATTTGGCATAGTATTGGCTGTCATTCATGGCAGTTCTAGATTCTACATCTTGAGTCCATAAGGAATGCCATTGTGAAAGTAGTCACAAAAATGATTAAAGATTTAGGCTGGATTACAATGAATGGATGCTAAGTGAAGTCATGACAAAATTAATTTAAATGACTATTTAGCCCATTAATAAATATTCAAGAAAATTATTTATTGATTAATTGTCAGGAAATAAAGCGGCTTTCTTGCAACGCCATGAAATAAGATGGAAATCGCTGAAAAGTCCAATGGGACTTTTTGTGGGAATGGTAGTGTTCTGTAATCTGCACTACCTGATATGATAGACTAATATTAATAGTTAATGAGCACTAGACATGCGGCTACTACAAACGAAGGGTGGTACTTTATATTTTATTTAATTATAATCATTTTAAGTTTAAATAGTCACATATGTCTAGAGCTACCATGTTGGAGAGCACAGATGGGAGTGTTAAGGGAATGAAGAACATGCCTTTTCTTGCTCTGGTTCTCCTGAGAGCATGAGGTTTTAGTACAAAGAACAGGCTGTCTTTAGAGTGTTCTAAAGAGGACGCGTTCCTTATCTCTATGAAGGAAAGAAGAAAAACTAAGAATGCAGTGATGATTTTCCTCACCTGAAATTTTGGTCAAAATGAAATTCTTCAGTATGAAACCTTTAAAATGTGACTACATTCTTCCCCATCTAATCAAAAAGACCTTATTATTTGGCCTGGAGCTTCAGTGTGGAAATTCCCCAGACTAAGCCTCCAGGGAGGCATGAGCTTTATGGACTGTCCACTTCTTTTCAAATAAAGTCGGCTGGGATGCTTTTATTTATTTAATTTTCTTTCTCTAAATTCAGGTGCTGAGGAAAAGACATACTAAAGAAGCCGTTCTCAGGCGTTCCAAGAGGAGATGGGCTCCTATTCCCTGCTCAATGCTAGAGAATTCATTGGGCCCATTCCCATTATTTCTTCAACAAGTAGGTTTTACAGTCTTTCTTTTGATTGCGTGTGTTTTAATTCCTAGACTTTGTTTTTGTCTAGGTTTCATAACTCTTTAGACATTTAAAAAGAAAGAGATTTGATTGAAGATATTCAGGAAGTATAATAAAAGTGAGTAAAATTAGAAAATCACTAAAAAACTACTACTAATAATATGAGAAGGACTGCAGCCATTAAATTATCTTTATGACTTTATTCATTCATTTAGCAGCTGGCTATTGAGCACCTACTATGTCCCATCAGAGGCACTGCTCAAAGTACAACACTAGAAATAAATTTAGCCATACCCTGGCTCTCATGTACGTCATCAGCCTAGTAAGGAAGACAGAGGTAGGCACACGGTTCTGATACTGAGTGATAGGTGCTGTATTAGAGATGATTTGGGTGATCTGAGAATTCATGGGATCAGCACCAAGTTCTGGGATGAAATGTGGTACAAATCAAGAAAGGACTTTGAAGAGGAGACATCTGAGCTAGGACCTAAAGGATGATGAAGTGTTGTTCATGTAGATAATTGTAGAAGAAGAAGAGGGAGGTACAGAGGTGAAGGCGAACACCTTAGCAGCCCCCTGGGTAGCTCAGTCCTCCTGGGTATGATGGGGTTGGGGCAGGGAGATAAGGCACAAAAGGCAAGTAGAGGTCAAACCATAACGGGCCATGTATATCCTGTTAGAGAATTTAACTGTTTCCTAAAAACAAGGAGAAATTTTTAACTAGGTCAGGTTTACTTTGCATAAAGATCTAAATGGAACATAGACACTGAAAGCAGTTGTTGAGGTAGGGCTCTGGTTGCTTGCTTGCCTTTTTCTATCACTGTACTTGAGGTTTCATTCCAGTAGTGTGACCTGACCCCTTCTTGTTAATGTTTTTAACTATCCTTTCAGTTTCTTTCATACTTCAGTGGTATACCTTTTTTCTTCTTTTCAAATTTTGTACTTTAACCACTCTGGAGGCATATTAAGAAACGATTCCCGATTACCGGAGTTGTACGGATCATAACTAATTTTAGCCTGTGCCCTGCTAAGCCAGTCACTATATCTCAGTCCTTACTTCCTTGTCATGTGTACATTTGACATAGCTGACCCTTCCCTCCTCCTCCCAATACTTTCTTCACTTGGCTTGTAAGACGCCACTCACCTAGTTTTCTGCTTACCTCGCTGGCCACTCTTAGGCTGTTTTGCTGGCTCTTCCTCATTGCTATGTGCCTACCCCCTCCAAACTTTGGACAGAGTTCTGGGCTCAGCCCATGAATCTTGTCTCTTGTTTATATTTACTCTAGTGGTAATTGCATCCAGTCTCATAGCTTTAAGTACTGTTGTCTGTTGGAGACTTAAGACCTCATATTTCTGGAACAGACTTCCTAATTAATATTTCTACTTGGAAACTTAATGGACATTTCAAACTTGACATACGCAGCACCAAAAGTTTGGATTTTCTCTTAAACACATCCTCCTGTCCCAGTTAATGACACCTCCATTCTTTCAGTTGTGGAGTATTAGAGTTTGTTAGGTAAGGTTTTGCTTGTGGAGAACATACTTCTAAGTAGTTAACAGATGGAGATTTATTAGTGTATAAGTAGTTTACAGAATTGTTGGAGGGACTGAAGAAATAAACTTTAGTTGAACTTTCAAGAGTGAATCCAGGCTACACTGCAGAATCCATAACCAAGGGACATGTTTTCTCCATGGTGGGGTAGCCACTAATTCATTAGTAACCAAAGTGCCACTGAGTGGCTTAAGCATGACAAGAGATTTATTTATGTTCTGTGAAAGTAGGAGCTGGTAAAGAGATTCTAATTTGAAAAACCACCAAGGACCTAGACTTCTTTCTTTTTTAGCTTAGCCATCTCTGCAAGTTTAAGATGGCTCATTGTTGTGTCCAAATGGAGGAACACATTCCTTCACTTTCCAGGGTACAGTCTAGATCTTGCATATATAATTTTTGCTCATATCCCATTGACCCGGTCTTTTCATGTGCCATACCTAATTGTAAAGGAACCTGAGAAATGTCTTTCTTTTGGGCAATCATGCACTCAGCTATAAATTCTAATACAAAGGAACATGGGAAGAGTAGATATTAGGAGATACTCGCACTCTCTGACATAATGTCATCTTCATAGCACACATCCAACCCATCAGCAAATCCTGTTGGCTGTACCTTCAAATTATATCCAGAATCTAAGCATTTCTCACCACCTCTACTGCTGCCATGAATTCTTGCAGTAACTAATGGTCTTCTGCATTTTTGCTTACCCATCCACCCATTTTTAGTCTTAACAAAACACGAAGTATTATCATTTTAAAATATCAGTTACATATATTACTCTTGTCTCAATTTTCCAATGGATTCCCACCTGACTACAGGGAATAGTCAACACCATTGGAATCACTTACATGATGTGGCCTCATCTCCTACTTCTTGCCTGCTAGCTTTCTCTGTTCCAACCACAGTGGCCTCTTTACTGCTCCTTGAACACTCCAGGCAAAACTTTGTTTCCTCGGCCAGGAAGAGCCTTCCTTGTTTATTCTTCTGTGTCATTCTTTTAATTTTTGCCAGTTTTCCTCCCTAAGGAACATTCAAATTAGTATTTCCTTTACCAGTGTATGAGAGTCCCACATGGCATGGCTCCTGCTAACAATGGGTATTATTGTTCTTTTGTATCTTTGCCAAATCTCTAGATGGGAAATTATGGTTTATTGTTTTTAATTACATTTCCTTTGGTTACTCTTTCTGTTGAACATTATTTTCTTTAAATCTGAGTAGTTTAAAAAAATCTTTTGCCAAATGCTCCTTATTGTTTTGGGAGTTGATGAAGTGATAAATGTGATTGTAATTTTACTAAAGGCTCTTTAGTAAAATTTAAAAAAGATAAAAACTATAAATGCATAAGCTACATTTTAAAAAAATAGCATTTTAACAGATTTTAACTTAAAATTTTTACATATATATTCTTTTCCTTTTAGGTTCAATCTGATGCAGCACAGAACTATACTATCTTCTACTCAATAAGTGGGCGTGGAGTTGACCAAGAACCTTTAAATTTATTTTTCATAGAAAGAGACACTGGAAATCTGTATTGTACCCGGCCTGTGGACCGTGAAGAATATGATGTTTTTGATGTAGGAGCTTTATTGATATACATGATTTTAAATGATTAAGCTATGTTTCTTTTGCTACTCCATGTACTCTTTCCTATATTCTTACATTCTTTTCTTAGACTCAAAGGAAATAGATTGTGCTATTTTGGAATATTTGATCTGCTCTTTATCTTAACTTCTGTTAGATACGCCTAAAATGAAGCAGAGAGGTTTATTTGCATTTGTATGTAAATTCTAGTACATTTCCCGGAGTTGGTTTTGTTTATGAGGTACTTTCTCTCTCTGGTCATGCTATATTTTTTTCCAGGATGTAGCCACCATTGATTAGATGGGTCTTCTTCCCTCTTCTGCTCTGGGTTTTTTCTTTAATTTTTGTTGTTTTTGTTGTTGTTCTTCCTTCCATTTGTGTGATCTTCTGATCATGTCTGAGAACTAAATAAACAAAAGTGGGAGACCAAACCCAAACAAGGTCAATAAGCCAGCCTTCTGATATGGATAAGCTAGCTTATGGTCAATGAGGAATAACTCAGTTTTCAGTGTAATATGGTAGATTCTCTGGGGTCATGTGGTCATCCCAGTGGTACAGGGGGGTAATGTTTCTCCATAAGAAAGAGGGATTCTCTGCTTAGAAGAAGGAAGAAATGCTGGTCAGCAAATGTGACTGATGTTTACCACATGACATTTCATTGATTTTGAGTGGAAATTTGCAACTTGGTGTTGTAATCACATGCTGAATAGAAGTACATTCTATTTGCCATTACATTGCCCTTTGATTAATTGGCAATGCAGAAACTGGTAAACGTGTTTTGTTAGAAAAATCTCTTACAAATATGTGATCTATGAGGTAAAACAATTAAAAGGGCTTGTTAGTTACAGGATGGAGAATCATGGCTCTAAGTAGATGATGTAGTAGGGATCTTTCCAATTGCAGTGAGTTTAATTATTCTCCCCAATATAGCTTTCTGATTATGGAGAGAATAAGGACTATAATCTGAGTCTAATGGACAGAGTTGTCTCTGACTTTACTGTACTCTGGAGTTTTATTTGAAGTGTAGCCATTTCTACCAAATGCTGGATGCCTCTTACTGCGTTTTCAGTGTTTTTCAATTTGATGCTTTGATGATTAAAAATAATTGAATAGAAATTTTAAGTGGTCAATTACTGAAAAGATTTTCAAAGAAGGTAGCAGATGAAACACAGAGTTCCCTCTTGCTAAAATCTAATATCAATCGACTACTGGTCTTGCTTTTTCCTGTTTTCCAGTTGATTGCTTATGCCTCAACTGCAGATGGGTATTCAGCAGACTTACCTCTTCCACTGCCCATCAGAGTGGAGGATGAAAATGACAACCACCCTATTTTCACAGAAGCTATTTATAATTTTGAAGTTCCAGAAAGTAGCAAACTTGGTAAGACCATTTTTTTAAATTGAACTTTTTTGCATGTATTTTCCTTTTTTTTGTTATTTGTATTTTTTCTTCTAGGAAATGTATATTCATTTCCTTTGTTTTCACTTTCCTTGGTCTTTATCTTGCTCTTAACTGTTTTTTTTTAAATCTACTTAAAAATGCTTTTTACATATTAAGGATACTAACCTATTGTCACACTGCAAATATTTTCACAGTGTATTGTCGCTTTTCAGTTTTCTTAAAGCTACTTTTTGAGGTAAAGAAGCTCAGGACTTCCATTTAGTTAAATCTATCCTTACTAGACTCATAGAGGCCTTTTCCTTTCATACTTTATGGTAAGGAAACTTTCAAAAATAAAATGTATTATGTTAAGTATGTTTGTGTGCATTTTTTGAGACATTGGATTTTTTTATGCCCAAAACCAGATTATCCTGATGATATTGAACCAGTCAGTATCTATTTACCAGAATACACTTATCCTATCATGTCCAAACAGAGTATACCTACAGATTATTACAGGAATTTGGTGTTGTCAATATGATACCAATTAATTATACAAGCAGGTAACAGTTTTTCAAGCTTTGAATTATATTTAGTTTATATACTTCATCATTTTGTGGGTTTGTCACTGTTCTCATCTCTTAGAGAGGACATATAGAATAGAATAACAATAAAATTAAAATCAATACTGATATTTTTATTAGGTTTTCTTTAGAGAGGTGTTAAACAACATTACTGAAAACAATTTTTTTAAAGCTCTTATTTGCATTATTTTTTTTCTTAAAACTACCACTTTACTGCTTCCAATTTAGAATGAATACAGGGATAAATTTAGAAACACATCACACTTGTTCAGACACTTGGAAAACCAAGTGTTCAGGTTAGTTGGCCCTTAAAATGGTGGCATACATGATGTCTTCTGAGACTTAAAAAAATGGAAAATAACCATTCACATAAAGTTGAAAGAATGTGAGCTCATTCATAAAGGATGGTTTTGGTCACTCGCCTATTAAAGTTTCTAGTAGTTACTTAGATCTTCACTAGATTTTAATATCTGCTATTCCCCTTTTTATTTGACATTGATGATTTGATGTGAGAGATGTTAGCCTCTTTATTACTCATATGGTACAATTAAAAAAATAAAAGTTGTGCATTTGGAGTTTAAGAAACCTAGTTTTTGATTCGGGGTCTGTTATTAATTCACTGTGGGAAATGGTGGCAGTCCCTTTGAATTCCCTGGCCTGTAAAAGGAGTTAATTGCATTAGATGACCTATAATATTTTTAGCTTCACAGCGACTATGACTCTTGTACAACTTTTCTTTTTTTCAAAGAGAGATCACTGGTTTTAAAGTCTTTCTTGAGGATTCTGTTCTCTGTGATCGTGACAGACAATAATCCAGGGCAAATACTTTGATGCCCTGACTAACCGGAGGCACTGGAAGCATCCCATGTAAGAAGGTTCAGACCAGTTTGGGCTGTGATACTCTGGACTACTAGGTGTGCTTGAATTTGCCATAACTCACACACAGAAGTTTGGACAAAGGGTGTTCAACTAATATTTAAGTATAGCACTCATAAAAGGTTCTGAAGTCAAGATTTTAGGAAGATTTTCTGTGATAAGTAAAGCAGTTCTTATCCAGAGAATTAAAATAATGTTTGTATCCTGTTGATAAAATTTTAGAAAGAAGGTACTCTGCCTTACAAAGATCGGTAACTTTTTTTATGTGAACATAGATGAATATCATTTGTTTTCTTACCATTACATGATTACTTCATGTCTTCATATTGATCCACTGCAAAAATCTTGTCATTAGTTATAAATATCTAATTGGACATTCTCTCTTTCTTTATATATATATGTATATATATTCATTTATTTACACACATACATATATACATATGCTAGACACATTATGGTGAAAAATTATTTAAAACTAATATTTTCTTGCATTAATTGGTTTTTATTTCCTTTAAATACAGTATTTCAACAAATATATAAACATATGTGTGTGTGAGTTTGTATATGTGTTGCTTCTCAGGCTGGCCTTACAGGGCCATAGGCAAAGTGGATCTATGGGTGACATTTTCATGGGCACTGGAACATTGTCCTTACACTATATAATACCACCTATTTGTACTCTTTGATACCTATAATCCTTTACCAGAGCAATGATCTTATATTCCATACAGATGACAAATATTAATAGTTTCACCTGAAGAAACAGCTGACTTAAATTCTCCCTGGAGGGTGAATCGTCTGAAAACTTTTCTTGAGGATTAAGTGGGGCTGAGAGCAGTGGGGTATGGATACTAAGTGGGTGAAAGAGAATGAGACATATCAGAGACTAGCAAAAACCATTAGAGAGTGGAGACTAGACTACGAAAGGTCAACTTGATCATTTATTCAGTTATACCCCAACTCAGTCTTGATTTACCTATTAATCAGAAATTAAGTTAAAAAATCTGATTTACTTAGGAACCAGCTAGGTTTGTTATTGCAGTTTGTGTGTGGAAATATGTATTGTAATTATTCTTGATTGCCATTTAAATAAGTTTTTAGGATTTACTATCAAACATTTTTTTAAAGATTTATTTATTTATTTATTTGACAGAGAGAGAGATAGAGAGAGAGAGAGAGAGAGAGTGCTTACATGAGCAGGGAGGGGCAGAGGGAGAGGGAGAAGCAGGCTCCCTGATAAGCAGGAAGCCTGACAAAGGGCTCCATCCCAGGACCCTAGGATTAGGACCTGAGCTGAAGGCAGATGCTTAGCCAACTAAGCCACCCAGGTGCCCCAGTATCAGACATTCTTAACAGTGAGCAAAGTAAAGGTGTACCTTGATTCCCAGCATCATAGTGTTTTAAATTATAAATTTGAAGTCTTCTTCACTGATGCTATCTAAAGATGGAACACCTCTGAGAAGAAATAACATTTAAAATTATATTGCCACTGTCATTGTTAAAATTTGAAAAATAGGGGTGCCTGGGAGGCTCAGTGGTTGAGTGTGTCTACCTTTGGCTCAGGTTGTGACCCTGAGGTTCTGGGATCAAGTCTCACATCAGGCTCTCTGCAGGGAGCCTACTTCTCTCTCTGCCTATGTCTCTGCTTCTCTCTATGTGTCTCTCATGAATAAATAAATAAAATCTTTTAAAATTTGTAAAATGTAATACTCCTAAATGTATTTTGCACTTCTGGAAATTAAAGACTCTTCATTTTTTTTTTTAAACATGTAGGTACTACAGTGGGAGTGGTTTGTGCCACAGACAGAGATGAACCGGACACGATGCATACACGCCTGAAGTACAGCATTTTGGAGCAGACCCCTAGATCCCCTGGGCTCTTCTCTGTGCATCCCAGCACAGGTGTCATCACCACAGTCACTCATTATTTGGACAGAGAGGTAGCTTTCCATTCCATAGAACATCATTTTTCTGGGAGCTGAGACCCATACCCCATTTACTGTAGTTTGCTCTCCTTTAGTCTTAGGCATTTCTATTTTACTTTATTTTATTTAGGTGTAAGACAATAAGACTTCTGGTAATATTACCTATTGTTTTTTTAAAAATTTTTAATTTATTTTTTATTTTATTATTATTTTTTAAAGATTGGTGTTTAGAAGGAATGGGAACAATATATATTTCTTATGAAAGTTGCTATTGTTAAATATTATTCTATTCTTATGTATGGCTAGTTGATTCCAGTTCAGTGAAGGCTTCAGTTCTCATGTAGGACAATTAATTTCCTTGTTTCAGAGTTCAGATCATACACTGATCCCTATTTAGTTATTATTGATATGTGTTTTTTATCAGGAATGAATGAATTGATGAATTATTATGAAATCTATAACACTGTTTGGATGATAGTACTAGAATATTGTCAGATATATAGCACTTTATGTTCAAATTCTTTATGCATAATTGTATTTGGTCTATATAATTTCCTCGTTTGACTAGATGGGTATTCCATCCAATCTATAGAGGGCAAACATGACAGAAAGATTGATTGACTCACCTAAGTCAAATTAATGCACTGAATCTCCTAATTTTTGTTATTGTTGCTCTTTTTTGTCAGCCTATTTTTAATTCAGAGCCCTGAACTATTGACTGAGGCAGATTAATCAATTTCATGTGTACAAAATAGCTCTTTTAGAACACTTCAGTGGTTCCCACTGCAACTAGAATAACACAAATAAAGGGATCAATATGACTTGGAGAAATAATGTACAGAAGAAATCCATGGAATTTGATGCCAAAGAAAAGGAAAGAATGATGAGAACCCATAAAAAGGGATAAAAATTTGTACAAAGGTTTTATTTGTCATTTTTTTTATTTGTTTGTGTGGTCAGGATATTTTAGGTGAGAAAGCACATGATGCTAATAATAAATGGGAGAGATTGAGGGAGGGCCTGTATGAGTGTGTTTTTGTATATGTGCAATAGGTAGAGTATGTAGTTAATCAAATGAAAACAAGCATTTTCCCTCATTTTTTACACACTGACAAATGAGGCTTAGAAAAATTAAATACTTTGAGAATACACAATTTGTACAGATTTGTGGTCAGACCCACATCTCTTTTCCTTTTTTTTTTTTTTTTTAAGATTTTATTCCTTTTATTCATGAGAGACGCAGAGAGAGAGGGGCAGAGACACAAGCAGAGGGAGAAGCTCCCCATCTGCATGGGGAGCATGATATGGGACTTGATCCCAGGACTCCAGGATCATGCCCTGAGCAGAAGGCAGATGCTCAACCACTGAGCCACTCAGGTGTCCCCATGTCTGTTTTCCTGATCAAAAAAAGCCAACAGGATTTTTCAAGGAACAACCACAAAGTGTGTTGTGGGGACAACACAGGAAATAAATGAACAAGGGAGATAAAAAAGCAAAACAAAACACTCAGTGTATTTAGAGGAAGAGAAAGAAAGATATCAGTGAGTGAGCCTAAAAGAGGAGCATTTCAGGGTGGGAATATTTGTTGCCAATGTGGAAGGGGGATGGGGAAAATGAACGCTGGAGGAAGAAATAGGAAGTTGAAAATGGAGAAAAGTAAAAAAAGCAAAAACAAAAGGAGTGGCTTAAAAAATAGAAGAGAAGGGCAACACAGGTAATTGTGTCATAACATAATGAGTTCATTTCATCATCACTCTACCACTTGCAAAAACTCTCTTCACTGAAGTCAATAGTGACCTCTTAATTGCCACATTCACTGAAGTCAATAGTGACCTCTTAATTGCCACATTCACCTGTTGCCTGAAGCCTCTGTCTATTGTTGGCACTTAACTAAAACTCATCTCTTCCTTGGTTCTGTTCCTGTTTCTCTGGTCTTTCTTTTTTTTTTTTTGTCATTTCCTAGTCTTACTTCCCCATGCTTGAAATGCTGCTGTTCTTAAATCTTCAGCTCTCCTCATCTTTAACCTCTTCTAGATAATGTGATTCCTGCTGTAATTTCAACCACCATCTACATACTAATGACCCCCAGATTGGTATTTCTGGCTATGAACTCTCTTGTAGTATGGGGCCAAACATCCAAGTGCCTTCTGAACCTTTCTCCTTAGATTTGCCATGGGCACATACAATCCAGGATATCCCAAACACAAGTCATTCCTTTTGGCCCTGCTTCCTAATTTTGCTAGTGTTCACTTCCTCAGAGAACTGGCTCTCCTTCTGCATTTGCTGCAATGATTGATAATACATCCTCTGCCTATTCAAATAGGATGGCTAAGCATCATTCTCAGCTCTGTCTTTTCTCTTAAGTTTTATATAGAATCTACCATCATATCTTATTAAATGTTAACGCCCAGGGAACTTGCCTGTTACCCTTTCTCTGTGTCCTCATGGCCATTGTGTCAGATTTGCATCACCTATCTCACACCATTTCAAGAGTTCTTTAATTGATTTCTTTGACTTTCAGCTCCGTTTACTGCAAATTATGGTAAATCTTCTTTAAGAAACTTCTTTTTAACACTTAGGTGTTCTTATTTTCTGCCCCCCCCCATGACTCCCATAAAACTTTTCCTTATTACCTGCTACTTAACATATAAATCTAAATTCTTTGTATGGCTCTTTGTAATTTAACCTCTGTTTACCTTTTTGGCTTCTCCCTGTCTACCAAATTCTTAAAATAGTATGCAAATATAGAATCAAATAAAAGCATGGATACACATAAATAGAAGAGGGTACAATTGAAATTTCATCTGTGGAGATCCCTGGGTGGCTCAGCGGTTTAGCGCCTGCCATTGGCTCAGGGTGTGATCCTGGAGTCAAGGATCAAGTCTCGCATCAGGCTCCCTGCATGGAGCCTGCTTCTCCCTCTGCCTGTGTCTCTGCTTCTCTCTCTCTCTCTCTCTCTCTCTCTCTCTCTCTCTCTGTGACTTTCATGAATAGATAAATAAAATCTTAAAAAAATCATTTGTGAGTCAAAGCAAATGTTTTTGAAACTAATTAAATACTTGTTTTGTTTTCAGACTGTAGATAAGTACTCACTGATAATGAAAGTACAAGACATGGATGGTCAGAATTTTGGATTGGTGGGTACATCAACTTGCATCATAACGGTAAAAGATTCAAATGACAACGCACCTACTTTCAAACAAAATACTGTAAGTGCACAGTTTCAAAATCTATCTCTTGTTAACCAGGATTGGTTATTTAATATGAATTAATAAAATACATCCCATACTTTGAGGTATGTATGTTTATTTTATAAATAAAATTAAATGGCTGACGTTGAAATTTCTTTTACTTATTCATTGTAGTATTTATATTATTTCCTTCTTGTTAAAGACAAACAACATTTGCCCTCATTTATAATGAAGTTCTTTCATTTCAAAGATAACCCTTAATGAGACAGTACTTGTGATTTATGGCTTTAAAATAAACTAGATAAAAAGTGTAAGAACCAATACTCTTGGAGTGTAAAAAATATTTTACTTTCTTTGTAGAAGTTCTCTTTATAAAGTAAGTTTTTAATGAGTTCTTTCTGTTTCAGTATGAAGCATCAGTAGAGGAAAATGCGTACAATGTGGAGATCTTACGAATACCTATAGAAGATAAGGATTTAATTAACACTGCCAATTGGAGAGCCAATTTTACCATTTTGAAGGGCAATGAAAATGAACATTTCAAAATCAGCACAGACAAAGAGACTAATGAAGGTGTCTTGTATGTTGTAAAGGTACAGTAATAATGAATAATTGACAACTTGGCAAGCTAACAAGTTCTGTTCACCTAATGGTTTAATCAACTAAATAGTTTCAGATCAAAGACTCCACAAGTTGGAATAGAGCTTTGTTTAGTCCAACTGTTCCCATCTAATGCAGTCTTTCTTCTATAATTTTGCTGCCAGTCGTTAGTCACCTAGCTTATGCTTGAACATTCTTAGTTCTAAGGATCTCTATATCTCCATTGGCAGCTGATTTCATATTTGGAGAGCTCTCATTCTCACAAGTCCTTATTTCTACCATGCCCAAATTATTCTCCATATATATATATATTCCCCAAATTATTCTCCATATATATATTCCATGGCTGGATTCCGCCTTTAATGGTCTAGGTTCCATCGCTAATGGAAGAACTAGAATTTGTTTGAAAAGATTGCTATTTTCATTTGAAACTTATCTTCTCTACGATAAATATTCCTAATTCCTTTATTCCTTGCATGACATAATTTAGAAGCCCATAAAATTCTCTCTCTCTCTCTCTCTCTCTCTCTCTCTCTCTCTCTTTCTCTGGAATATATGCCTAGTTGTATCTGATCTTTTATAGGTGATAATTGAGGGTGAAATATAGTGTTATATCAGACAGCACTGAAGGAGCTGACTCTTTATCCCATATATTATATTTTTGGTTGCATTGTTTTATTCTAGGGTCCAGGTTATGGGGGCAGAAAAGGCCCTATTTGGGAAGGACCCTTGGTTTTACTATGTAACCCAGAATAAGAAAGGAAATGTCCTATGGACAGGTGAAGCAGTCATCCATTGAATAAAGGAAGTTTTCCTGCCAACAACAATGTGGAGACTTTGATACATAAATATCTAGTTATAATTATTTGCTCTGTAAAAATTTCCAGAGATTACATAATAAGACTTGGCAAGTTCTACTTGGATGTGAATAGTCAAATGTATTTGTTCCAAATTACTCTCAACATTAAACTTCTATTTCAGTTTTCTCTAATATGATATGCTCAAATTGAATACTAAAACCAACTACTTAAGAAAAATGAAACTTTTAACTGATAATAGTAGGAAAAGAAATAAGCAGATGATACTGATCATTGTTCCTCTTCATTGGTACACCTCAATCCAGTCTTATTTGGACTCTCCAGAAAGCAGAACCCAAGACAAGTATCTCAATGAAATGAATTATTTAGGAAGTGGATTCCAGGAAGCCAGAGTAAAAATGGAAAAGCAAGACAGGAAAGAATGAAAAGCCAATCAAGTCTGCATTATTGACCTAGTCCCCTCTGGTGTTCAGTCATACAATAAACCACGTAGAATGTACTTCAGAATTATCTCCTCCAAAAGTGGTACCTGGAACATTTATCCATCAACTCCATTGATACCTATGCCTCATTGGTGGAAGGCTGCCTTTGGGAATCTCAGCTCTTCCTGCATTTCTGGGCTTGGCTGTGTCTGCTAGGGGGAGACACTCTGGCTTTGGAGAGACTTTGATGTGAAGAGCTGAATCTTTGTGTGCTTGAGATGTGAGTCTATCAGCATAAATGGGGGAGTGTCCACCACAGCTGCAGCTGAAGTTGGGTAGGCTAAAGGTCTGTGGTGTATAATTCTTATGAAAAGTGCTGCTATGCATCAATTTGCAAAGTTAGGCATACCTATGTAGTCAGGCATCAATTTGATGTGTTTGGCAACAGATACTCTGTAAAAGATTTCTCCTGGACACCTCTTTTGCCCCCGTCACTGCCATCTTAATTTCTTTCTAGGAGGAAGTCAAAGGAGTAGTTTGAATTCTAAGATGGAAAGATTATGCCAACTGCAGTGGCTCAAGTCAAAGACCCAGGCTCAGACCTTTTAGAGTGTTCTGTATCTGCTGCTTGATTAGAAGACTAATCCTCACTTCTCTCTCATTCAAGTCCATTATTAAAGTCCTATTATTAGTATTTTTTAAATCTCAGTGATTTCATCTTGCTTTGGAAAGCAAAATTTAAGTAACACTGGGAATTAAATTTTTTGAGTTTTTTTAAAGCAATACAAAATGAATTTTAATAAACTTTCTCAAAAGAATATATTCTAAAAAATGTAGTACATTCCATTTTTTCATATTCGGAGTGGATATTTTTCCCTCAAAGAATGTTGATCACATTAAGAAAAATGTTTCCAAATATTTTCAGAAATTATAGCCTATAATATCCTAGAATATTTCCCACTCTGGGTGACTAATAAACATGTTTTATTTTTATTATTGTTTTTTAAAGATTTTATTTATTTATTCATGAGAGACACAGAGAGAGGAGAGAGAGGCAGAGACACAGGCAGAGGGAGAAGCAGGCCCCATGCAGGGAACCCGACTTGGGACTCGATCCTGGGTCTCCAGGATCAGGCCCTGGGCCAAAGGCGGCGCTAAACCACTGAGCCACCCGGGCTGCCCCCCACCCCCAATCTGCTTTATTTTTGATGAACAACTTCTGGTTACCATCTCAGGATTCCCCAGTAGGGAGAGCAATTATATGGTGATACTTTACTTTTTTGTCTTTGGTTCAGCTTAAGTTAATTTCACATATGAAGAATAAAGAAAATCCCCACCATAAAATTTATGTACATTTATTCCCATTATCTTTAAACAGAAGATAGTTGCACTTATATTTTATAATTGCATCCTAGTTCTTATGCCTAGGAAATGTTTTCAGAATTTTAAAGCAATTATCAAGTACTGATCACCTTTCATGTCAAGGGAATGACATAAGTACCTTATGTAGTTTATAACTAATTGTTGCATCCTCTTTAGGATAAGATATTATTATCCCCATTTTACAACTTATAAAGATATTTATAATTTTCTTCTTTTGCACAATTCCTATTAAGTTTTTATATTGGTATTTGACTTGGCTTATAAAAATATTTTGTTTCTTTTCCCACATTCTGAAATTGTAAACAAAACAAAAAATGCTAGATTCAAAAGATTTATTTTTCACCTTTCTAACAACCCTGTGGTTGTTCCTCTCATTCTTCCCATTTCCAGATGAGGAGGCTAAATCGAAAGAAGTGAAGTCACCTGCCCCAGTTCATGTAGATAGGAAGTGATAGAACCAAGATGCCAACTCAGACATTCCTGAAGCAGAACCCTTCCTCACAACCACTGTACTGCTCTTCCAGCTGGAGACTCTTAGGTCACATTCCCTTTCTCTCTCCTCTTTTCCATATGTGGGTTACTTAGCTTGATAAAACCATGACTTGCACAAGGGGGTCTTTTTTTTTTAAACTTGAATTAATTTCTATTTCTATGTATTTATTTCTTAAGTTATCTCCTTCCTCTCTTCATCTCTCCTTATTAGCTCCTCTCAGAATTTTACCTTCTCTCTTTCTTTGAGCCATTCATTATAGTCTCTACCATGTTGGTCAATAAAATGTGCGTTTTCCCTGGTATACTTTCCTTCTATATTTTATGCAAACCCTTGGAAAACTTGAATTCATCACATAGCTCCTTTTGGTAGCCACACTGGTCTTTAAAGATATCTTAATCCTTTTCCGTGCTCAAGATTTGTGTTTGTGTACCTAAGTTATATCTTTAAATACTTTGTAACCTTGATGAGGCATCTTTTATTTTAAAATCAAACACTGTATAATCAAGGCATTTTGAAATCCATCATTCTTTCAGTAGGCTACTTACATAATGATGGCTGGGAATGAACTTTTTTTATTCCTTTATACCAAAAAGAGTTAAAGAATCAGAAGTTAAACCAAAGATTGCTTATATGTACTTCTTTTATCTGAACAAAGCTTCCAAACATTGCCTTGCTAGTTGATGTCTCCTATTATTGCATTAAATTGGCTGTTAACAAAAAATGTCACTGTTTTCTTTCAATTGTCTGTGTGGCAGCCTGAGAGATTATTATATCCTATAGTATAAAGCACTCACTATGGGCTTACAATATTAAATCTTGTTCTTGTAACAGTGGTGCAGAAGACAAAGCTGAGTTTCAGAGAGATTAAGACACTTACCCAAAGTGATGCAGCTAGGATGCAGTAGGACAGGATCTGAATCTAGATCTCTTTTATTCCAAGTACCACGCTCTTAAGCACCATGTTAAATTGCTTTGCATAGTTATGTGATGGAAATTTAGCCTCTGTATTATCTATAAATCATAAATACTTCTCTCTGTCTCCCTAATAGCTATTCAATTATAACAATGAAAATGAAAACACTTGGTAAACTATAGGATATAATTATTATATTTTTAGAGGTCTTACGTGTGTGGGGCTAGTGTTACAATTTTCTATATTGGATAGCTTTTCTGGAACAGCATGAGCTGATACAGTCTTTAGTAGCTCAATCCTGGATGATCTTTCCATCCCTACATTTCATTTCCATTTGAGCAGCAGCAGTAGTGCACATTGGTTTGAGTGAAGAAGATATTGTTGTTGGTCATTCTCAATGTAGAAGGTCCACCACAAAGCAACACTTCATCTTCTAGGGAGTTCATAGCATCTCAGTGCAGATATGGGATATTTTTGCACTTTTTTAAAAAAATAATTAAAACATAAAGCTTACCCTATGGTGGAAGAGAATTCTTGTTTTTTTATTAATCATTGATTTCACATCCCACCAGATTTTCAGTCTTGCGGAGTTTCAAGCCTCTAAAGCAATATCCAGTATAAGCCTTGAAAAATTACATAAAGAAATTCTAAGGCTTTTTAGCAAGTGGCCCTGGATGGAATAACTGCACCACCTCCAGAGCAGCAGCTGTTTTGTGAATTTCCACCCATGGCTCATTGCCAGTGAATACTCTCATTCTCTACATGTTCATACCAACACATGTAATTTGTGAGGTAGTGTTCATTAGCAATAGATAAACAGATATTAATTCATTTTCCCTCTTGACCCTCCATTTTCAGGAATGTTTATAAAAACTAAAAAAGAATTTCACAGACATTTTGTGGATTCTATGATTCACTCCTTAATGGCCTCACGATACTATATCTCAGCTTGATAATAGCTAGGTATGGGGAAAGGTTTAAAGTAAAATTTTTACTCATCTGTTTTCATTTTGTTCAATGGTCAGCCAATGATGATTTTGATAAGCAGAAAGAGAATCAAGGAAAAAATGCTTCCAATTTGCAGTACAGTGTGAAAAAATGTCTTTATGGGTTTTGCTTGATTTGTTGTCTGACAATCAATTACAATCAAAGGATTCACTTAAATATTTTTGGAGGCTGATGAATCATTTAAGTAGAATTGTGTAGCAGAGGGATTATAGTACAGTGGTTGAGAAAATGGACATAGTCAATAGGAATTAGTGTAAGTCAAACAAAATTGGATTCATTTGGAGTTAGATGCCCCTCAGGCTGGTCCTTTAGTGCTATAAGATAGGGCCGTAAAAACACTGTTATCTTTTTGCATTATCTCCAGATTCAGAATAATTTTCCTCAGTAAGAATGAACTATAGAAATATTTTAGGAATAGTTTTCTACAACTCCATAAAACCACCTGCAGAAACTTTCAGATCACTCTTGCTAAAGGCTTAGTGAAGAATCACTTCTCTCTTTAGCAAAGGGTTGAAGTCAGTACTCATTGAAAAGGAAGAGAGAACTCATGAAGCACTGTTCTTATTTAAAGAAGGTCCCCCCCCCAAAAAAAGAAGGTCCCTTGCTATTTGAAATGCCAAATGTATTTTACACTGATACTGTTATACATGTGCTTCTTTAAAAAGCCACTGAATTATGAAGAAAACCATCAGGTGATTCTGGAAATTGGAGTAGGCAACGAAGCTCCATTTACCAGAGATGTCGCACTCAGAATGACAACCATGAATAGAGCCTTGGTGACAGTTCACGTGAGAGATCAGGATGAAGGACCTGAATGCAGCCCTGCAGCGCAGTACATACGGATTACAGAAAATGCAGCAGTGGGGTCAAAGATCAATGGCTATAAGGCGTATGACCCTGAAACTAAAAGTAGCAACCACTTAAGGTACGGAGAAGTCTGTAACCACATACAGATAATGTATTTGTGATAGTTGAGATAGTAATTTATTTTTATGCATTTTGTATCGCTAAAGACTTTTCATTTTATATTAATAGGTACAAAAAATTGAATGATCCTAAAGGATGGATCACCATTGATGAGATTTCAGGGTCGATCATAACTTCCAAAATCCTGGACCGGGAGGCCATGGCTCCCAGAAATGACTTATATAATATTACAGTCCTGGCAATAGACCAAGGTAAAAAGAAAAAAAAACATTTTTTTTAAGTTTTAATATGATATTTTAGAAAGGAATTGGAAAATAAACTGCATTTATTGTTGTGCAGAATTTTTATGGTAAGTATTTGGAATTGTTAGGAATTATTTTGGAGACTACCTATTTCTCTTGATTGTCTAACAAGGTGAACTTTCACAGCAACAAGAAGCCATGTCATATTTATCTTTATATCCGCAGTATGCGGGAACGTCAAATACCTATAGATGCCTCTGTTAGAGGGCAAAGATGAAACTTAATTTTGGGATCAGATGAAATGTTCTCACCAGGCTCTTCTATATCTCTTTATTCCACTTCAAATAGAACCTTTAAATAACTCAGCTGATTATTAGGGCAAAGTGGTCCTTTCCTTGAATTCTGTTCCTTAAAACAACCCAGGGGTTCTACTCAGGCTTCATATTATTATTAGAATAATTCATGATTAGAATAATAATAATTAATTTGGGGCACTTAAAAATCATTTTGTAGATGTGACTTAGACACACTGAATCAGAATCCTGGACTGGGGACTTGAGCATCATATATTTTGAAAATCTCCCTAAGTGTATGTATCATACCCCTAAATACTCCCTAAATATGTATCGGGATTGGAATAACTCTTTGAAGCCTCTTTACTGCTCATTAACATCTGCACCAGAAGGAACTCCCCCAAAATACAGAGCTTGAAATTCACACATTGATTTTTATTATTTGATAATAATCCTGGCGTAAGGTTTATTGGGTTTATTGGAAGTTGTAGCTGATATTGTCCATGACAGTACTCACTTTAGATGATCTGCAGGTTTCACTTATCCTTCTACATTCTTAATCCTATTTTCTGTAATAATCAGCTTATTTAAGAAAACATATATTTTATGTAGAATGTAGTTAATTTTATTGGAAAACTGTAAGAGAATGCAAAAAACTATGCTAAGCTTTTTTTCCTTCTTTCATAGATGGTAAGTCATGTACTGGAACACTTGCTGTTAGCATTGAAGATATGAATGATAATCCACCAGAAGTACTTCAAAGTTATGTAACAGTTTGCAAACCCAAGATGAAGTATACAGACATTTCAGCTGTTGATCCTGATGAACCTATCCATGGTGCTCCATTTTATTTCAGCTTGGCAAACACTTCTCCAGAAACGAACAAAATATGGACCCTCACCAAAGTTAATGGTATTTATTTATTTATTTATTTTTAGAGATAGATTTATTTATTTATTTATTTATTTATTTATTTATTTATTTGAGAGAGAGCTGAGAGGGAGAGAGCACACGTGTGTGTAGGTGAGGGGAGGGTCAGAGGGAGAGAATCTTTAAGCAGACTCCCCACTGAGCACAGAGCCCTCACATAGAACTGGATCTCACAACCCGTGAGATCATGACCTGAGCTGAAACCAAGAGTCGGATACTTAACTGAGCCACCCAGGCACACTGAAGTATTTAATAAAAAGTAATGTTCTATATGCTCTAAAATAATGAGAGTAGATTTTGTTGTTTAGTATAATAGTCTCATTAATATATTTTAGGAGACCAACTCAGTCTTTTACAAATACTGTATGTGGTCTGTGTTATTTATGGCATAAAAAATGAAAAAAATTAATTTATATTAAGGCAAACTTCCATTTACAACAAAGACAAAGCTTTGTTAAAATATTGGGCAGCTTATCATTAAGATAAATTGTTTTTGGTGTATTATTATTATTTTTTTAAGAGAAAGAGGATGGGGTAGGGGTAGAGGGAAGGAGAGAATCTTAAGCAGACTCCATGCCCAGTGTGTAGCCCAGCATGGAGCCCAATGTGGGCCTCTCATGACCCTGAGATCATGACCTGAGCTAAAATCCAGAGTCCAATGTAATTCACTGAGCCACCCAGGTTCCCCTGATGTATTTTTAAAGTGACTCCAGTGAGGTGAGGGGAGAACAGAGATGGACAGTTTAAATTTTAGTATAAATTTTAGTTTAAATTTTAGTATAAGCAAACTGGAAATGAGGAATCTGGCTGTATGAGACAAGGAGTCAATAGTATTCTGGAAGGAAACATATTGGGGTATGGACAGGGGTGTAGCATTGGAGCAATCAGGACAGCCTCCTATGATAGTGGTTTCTGGGGGAATAGAATATTCTATATTTTAGCCACCATTCACTGCTGTTTTGTTACTTTATTATGCTCTTTCATGTAAGTGGAATTTTGTGTATGCTGACCCTTCTGCTCTGAATACTTTTCCCATTTCATAGTTCGATACTAATTCATGATACTTGGGGAGCACCTGCCATCTATCATGCATTGTTCTAACCCTGGGTATGTATGTAGAGATTAACAAGACAGACATGACTGCAGCTCGGTTGCTCACGTCAATGAGGCCCTTTTCAAAATAGAAGGAGTAGCACCATGACCTTTTCTACCTTTATTATAGCTCCTTTCATGTCGTATTATCATCTGTTTACCTTTCTCCTCCAATATATGAGTTTCTCAGTATATTTGTGATTCTTCTATGTATTTCCAGCACATAGCCTAGAGCTTAGTTGATACTAACTGCTTAGTGTTTGTTTAATCAATAATTGATTAGTATATTAGTATCAATTATATATAATTGATTAGTATATATATTAGTATATTTAGTATATTAGTATATTAGTATATAAGGAAAATTCTAGAGCAATAAGTAAACTGGTGCTGTTAGAGTTCAGGTTTTAGCAGAACTGCTGAGAGATTGGGTGGGACATTGGGTGGAGTTTGGGGATGCAGGGCCTATCTATGACTGAAGAGACTGACTTATATTCAGTAGGTGACAGCAGGTGTGCACTGGGAATGTGCCAGTAAGGGATGCTGTGCCCAGATTTGTGTCTTAACAAGGTGACACTGGTGACAGGATTGAGGAGCGCAAGAGTTGAGTGGCAGGGTCATCAGAGGCTGCTGCACTCGTATGAACAAACAAGATGTGACCAGAGCTGAGCATGTCTTGAGGGAAGAGAGGAATTTGAAGGATTTTACCTTAACCACAATATGATCTGGGAGGGTTCCATCTAAACCTTAGTAGTAATCCACATTCCTCCAGGGAGCTTTGCATTTGAAGTGCAGCCAAAAGTCTTTGAAGTTCTCATCAGTTGTAACAGTACACTTAAGAAAGGCTTAAAAGTTACAGATGACTTCCAGGATATGCATTGTGCTACTTTGTCATTTCACTTACTGCAAAACTCAGAAGGCTGTAATTGGCATTAAAAGTGGGCAGAGCTTTTGGTCAGTTGATAATCAAGTCATTAAAATAGGCTATTGGGGAAATATAGTTGATAAAAATGTTTTTTTATGATACAGATACATTTGTTTTTATGTAAACCTTATACCTAGCCTGGGTGACATTAATTAGCTTTCTGGTATTGAGATCACTTCTGTAGGGAAGGCATAATAACAAAGGGTCTATTGTATTTTGAAAATTTACTTTATATGTAAAGATAATGGGGGGATCCCTGGATGGCTCAGCAGTTTAGCACCTGCCTTCGGCCCAGGGTGTGATCCTGGAGTCCCGGGATCCAGTCCCACGTCGGGCTCCCTGCATGGAGCCTGCTTCTCCCTCTGCCTGTGTCTCTGCCTCTCTCTCTGTGTGTCTCTCATGAATAAATAAATAAAATTGTTTTAAAAAAAGATAATGGACAGATACCAGAAAGTAAATAGATAAGAGAAGGCCAACTTAAGACATACTTTGTGCCTAACAATTGGCATTAATTCTTTATGAATACCAAAAACTGGTACTGTAGAAAAATGCTTGAAGTGCATGTCAGGGGCCAATCTAGCATCATTGGTTTGCAGATAAGGTAAAAGTAAAGGAATATTAAATATTACTGAAATGCTACTGGGTCATTCCAATGTCAAATTATGTCTTTAATCCTTTCATGCAAAAAGTTACAATGGACAACACACACATGGTAGTGTTCTTGCTGAAAAGGTTGTAGGCAGTTGTCCATTTTTATTCATTTTCATGTGGCAGGCGGTTCCTTGAGAATAATATGTTTAGAAGCAAGTGTGGCAAAACAAATGGTAAGAGAGAAATACATGTCCATTAAAGATACAATTCTTTCATTTTCTTTCAGATACAGCTGCCCGTCTTTCATATTGGAAAAATGCTGAATTTCGGGAATATAGTGTTCCTATTACCGTAAAGGATAGAGAAGGTCAATCTACAACAAAAACCCTGACAGTTAATCTGTGTGATTGTACTCATCCAAGTCAATGTCGGGCAGCTCGAAGGAGTGCAGGAGTAATACTCGGAAAATGGGCGATCCTAGCAATACTGCTGGGTATAGCATTACTATTTTGTAAGTCCTTTTACTTACTGAAAGTTAAAATGGATCATAAATATGTGAGTGCAGGAAAGTTCTTTAAAAAGTAATCTTGTCCAACTATCCATCAGGTGTGTCCTCTTTATAAATTGCTTTTGTGTTACCTGAGTTCTGATGGAATATTTTTGGGGAGAGAGAGAAGCTAGATCCTTTTTGAGATATGATTTCATACTTGGACAGAGCTGTTTAAAATTCCTTAGACCATACCAAATCTGTCAATATATAGTTTTCATTTCTTGGTCCTGGTACTACCCCTATTAGGGCTAAATAAAACAATCAAAACTTTTGCAATATAAAAGTCCACTATGAGCCACTGTGACCTCTTCTCGCCATTCAGCCCAGGCTTCTGGGAATCACTCAGATCACAGCAGTATCCCATCTTGCGTGTATCTTGTCTGTTTTGAATTATTTTAACCCTCTCCTTGCCAGTTGTGTAGTTCCCAATGGCACCATATTTTTCCCTCTATTTCCATCCACTCCTACAGTCTAGATGAGCCATGGTTTCTTTGTTCTGTGATAGCCCTAGGGTTAAGAGCAAGACTCTGGAACCAAACTATCTGGATTTGTAACCCTGCTCTACCATTTGCAACCCATGCACCCTGGGACGAGTTACTTAATGGTGCTTCAGTTTCCTCAGCTATAAGAGGGAATAATTGGAGTAGCCTACGTTAGGAGGCAGCACTGAGCATTAATTACTTTAAAGCATGTGAAGAGCTTAGAATAGTACAGTGTTCAATATTTTTCTGCAAGTCAACAAAATAAATATGCCACTATATGCCAGAAACTGGCTAGGTGTTGGGAGTCATCAGAGAACAAAACAGACAAAACCAAACACAAACAGTGTGCCTTGTGACAGTGAACTAATAAATAAATGAAATGCCGTGGAGGGAAAAATAGAGCAAAAGAATTAGGAGCTGTAGTGCTGTGGAGCACGTGTGAGTGAGTATGAGGGATCAGTGCAAGTGACAGCAGCTGTCTGCGGATGGTTTGGTCAGGGCTAACTGACAAGGCTGTCTGACGATTTGGGGGAAAGGTGAAAGAGTCAGCCAAGTACAGTACTTGGGGGAAAGGTTTTCATTCAGAGGGGAAAATCAGCTTGAAGGCTCTTAGGTGAAAGGGAGGCTGGAGAAGTCAAGGCATGGCAGGGATGCCAGTGTGGCTGGACTGGAGTGGATCAGGAGAGTGGGGTTGGACATGGAACCAGAAAGGTAACAAGGGACCACAGAGAGGAGGCGGGAATTGGCACCCTTTTTCTGTCAAGCGCTAGTTAGTATATATTTCATATTTTGCAGACCCTGTGATTTCACTTGTAACCAATGAAATCTACCCTTCTAGTAGGAAAGTAGCCATAGAAAACATTTCAGTGATGGGCATGGCTGGGCTCCGGTAGAATGTTATGGAGGCTAAAATTTGAATATCGTATTATTTTCACATGCACTGAACTTCTATTCGTTTGATTTTAAAAACCATAACTCATGAATGATACAAAAACATGTGGTGGGCTGGATTTGGGGCTGTAGTTTGGCCACCCTTGATAGAGGGGCTTGTAGGACATTGTGAGAACTGTCGTTATTATTACTGCTAATTTAATTATCACATATTTAAACCTCCCACAGGTATGCTGAATTTTCTTTTTAGAAAGAAAATTTTGAATAGACAAAATACAGAGTAGTTTTAATGAAGATACTTGGAGATAAATCTGTTCTGGGGAGAAAAGTGTGTCATGTTTTCATATAGGTAAATCAGTGTTTTGGGAATCAGTAAATCTCTTTGAAGTCTCTGTCTTAAATAAATGTCATTGAATTTTTTGAAAATATATGACTTAACTTACATTTGTAAATATTTTAAAATTACGGATTGAATTCAAACTCTTAAAAAGAGCTATAATAAAAATATACATATAATTCAGATTTGAAAGTCTAAGCTAAATCACAGCCTATTAATTTAGAAAGGCCAAGGTAATTCACAGGACCATGTTTACTGGCTTGGTTTTCCTCCTGTGTAGCTGAAGTAATAAAAAATAAGAGATGATTATTTTGTTAAACTTTTTTTTCAATGCAGCTGTATTGCTAACTTTGGTATGTGGAGTTGTTGGTGCCAAAAAAAGAAAAGGTTTTCCTGAAGATTTAGCACAGCAAAACTTAATTATATCAAACACAGAAGCTCCTGGAGATGATAAGGTGGTAAGTAATTTTTTAAAATGAGTATTTATCTCTGAGTATCTCCCTTAATTTCTTTTACTGATTCTCATGAAGTTATTTTGTAATTTAGGAGTTAATATTTATATTTTTAGTTTGGTCAGATTTTGTAGGCATAAGTATTTTATCTGTCAATATTCAAATATTTATGTAGGTGACATTTATTGAACTTCTTAAATCAGATGCATTGTTTTTATTCTTATTCTTCCACTCTCTAGTGTTATGATTTAAAACTTGCTCTTTGATGTTGTGAAATTATTATAATACCAATTTTCTAGCTGTTCTCCACAATGTACACTTCCAGATATTATTTGTTTTTCTGACTCTTGACCACTGATAATAGGAAAAAAAAACTTACTAAAAGTTTTCAAGATCAACTAAGAAAATGCCAAAGAGATACATATTTTTAATAAAAGTATGTGGGGGGAGGATAGATTACTTGGAAGATTATTGCCACTTTCTTTCCGTATAGATTTCTTGAGACTGCTGAGGTGTTTTGTACTAGGCTTCTTGTCTGGGGAGATGTATATTTAAAAAGTTCTTACAAGGCATGTTCTTCCCCCAAAAAGATTTCAAAGTATTGATGAGAAAAGGAATCTATTTTTATGGGAAAAATAAGTAGGAACATGCCAGTAAACCATTAGCACCAATATGATAGAAAACTGTTGTCTTTCAAAGGTGCTTGTGATACTTAAGTGCATTCGTGTTGTCTGGATCAACTGGAAAGACTTGGTGAAAGCCTTGGTAACTTAAAGAATAGGAAGGGTTTGAAAGTAGAAAGATGGTGGGAATAGCTATAAAGGTGGAAAACAGCCTTATGAATAAAAAAAGGAGGTGACAAAGTTTAGAGATCCTTCAACAAATAGTAAAGAAATTGATTTGAAATGGAAGAAATGCTATTTTGCAGTAGAAGCTTGAAACTCGTTAGGCATTTGGAAGAGAGGAGTAGGAGATGGGGCTGTTGTTAAGGACTTGGGATTTATTCTCTTGGTAAGGAAGAGCAGGCGATGGTTTTCCTGCACAGAAGTGGCATAATGGGAGCAGTGTGATGCTGAGTCAGTAGGATGATCAGTGAGAATAGGAAGATATTAGGGATAGGGAAGAGAAAGGATTAGAATCTTTCAGTAGTTGAAGCAGGAGGTAACTCTACGAGAATGGATAATGGTCACTGGAAAATTAAAATAAGGATAATAAATATTTTAAATGTGTAAATGATAAGGTTGTTAGCTTTTGAGTAACAAAATAAAAAATGAGGTCAAAGCAACAGAGGCCATAACCAAGGACAAGGACTTTATATTAAGCCTTTCAAACCTTTTCTGTATCTCTGTGTTAGGATACCTTTCTTAACGACTTTGCCTCTTTCACCTCCTCCCACCATCACGTAAAATCATAGCACTATGCTTGACATGCCTCCATGTGGAACCTTGTAATTATTTCTCCATTCAGAAAATACATTGAGTCCCTTGATAGTCTTTAATTCCTAGTAAATTCTTATCTTATACGTGAGAAGGGAATGATGGAGATATTTGTAATACTTGTTCTTTGCCATTTGATACTAGAGCTGCTGGCATTAATTGGCAATTTCACCATAACATACTCAGACCTACCTTTGCCTGTTCTCTGTTAGGAACACTTCTCAAAATTCTCAGAATGATTAATTTATACTGCAGTTTAATTTAGGTATATTTTTACAAAATGTAACAGAATTTCATAGTGAATGTGTAAGCTCATTTTAGTACAGTGAGTACAGGTGATGACTTTAGTTCTGGACTTAAGTTGAAGTCAAAGGGGTTCAGAAGAGGTTAGGCGCTGGTTGAAAAGTCAGGACTGGAGAAGTTAAATCTGGAAATCATGGGTGTGGAAAAGGAGTATATGATACCCTGTGAGAACGTACATGGTGACAGGAAGGAACAGAAAATAGAATGTGAAACATGGCATTGTGGGCTAGGCCTTGGTTTTAGTTTAGTTTGAATTCTCCTGGTATTCGCTTGCATGATCTCTGAGCATGTATGTATAATGACAAAAACTATACCATCAAGGAGATTTGATAATCAGGATTATTTTTCTTTTCTCTTTTGTAATAGAATTTCACTGTAGGAGCAATCCAAGCAAAAAATATGGGGTAGCAGTGCCACCAAATGGCTACTTTCAGTTCTCTTCTCTGGTATAATTTTCTAAGGCAGTGAGACACTATGTATGACGTCTATAGGGACATTTCAGATTCTGAAATATCCAAAACTCCAAATCATCTGAACTTGAAAATCTTCCAGTTTAGTTAGAGACTCTGCATATTAAATAGAAGAAAAGCAAATTGGTAAGAAGATGGCACAATGGAGCCTGATTTTAATGGAGGTCTTGTCTGAAAGTAACAGTTTATAATTAGAATTGACATGCTTGAGGTTACCGCTCTAACCAGACTTCCCACCTACAGCCCAGAGTTCCATATAAGGTTCCGGCCTTCGTCAATGCTTAGCCAAGTCTTTTTATCTTCAAACATTCCCTTGACTCTGTTCTCCTCTAGTTCCCTTCTTATCTCTTTTTCTTTGAAACAGCTTTTTGAGAGATTATACTTGATTTGTCCATGGCATTACTTTCTGTTCATTCAGCACTTCTTGGAAATTCTTTTGACAGAGGTCACCAATGGCCACCTTTTTACTTGAATCTAATAGTGGATTACTTTATTTGAACCAGTTCTTAAACTACTTTGATGTTTTCTCCTTACGCTAATCCTCTCGGCATGACTTCAGAGTTGTGCCTCTTGGGTTCCTCTGTTCTCTCAATAGCTATTTCAGATCAGTTCTGTCCTCTAATTCGCTTATCCACCCTTAAAACATGTTTTGTTTTGTTTTGATTTGCTTTCCTTGTGGTTCTATTCTTTTTTAAAAATTTTTCTTTATTAGAGTTCAATTTGCCAACGTACCGCATAACACCCAGTGTTCATCCTGCCAAGTGCCCCCCTCAGTGCCCATCACCCAGTCACCCCAACCCCCTGCCGACCTCCCCTTCTACTACCCCTTGTTCGTTTCCCAGAGTTAGGAGTCTCTTATGTTTCGTCACCCTTTCTGATATTTTCACTCATTTTCTCTCATTTCCCTTTATTCCCTTTCACTAATTTTTATATTCCCCCAATGAATGAGACCATATAATGTTTGTCCTTCTCCGATTGACTTACTTCACTCAACATAATACCCTCCAGTTCCATCCATGTCGAAGCAAATGGTGGGTATTTGTCGTTTTTAATGGCTGAGTAATATTCCATTGTATACATAGACCACAGCTTCTTTATCCATTCATCTTTCGATGGACACCGAGGCTCCTTCCACAGTTTTGCTATTGTGGACATTGCTGCTAGAAACATCGGGGTGCAGGTGTCCCGGTGTTTCACTGCATCTGTATCTTTGGGGTAAATCCCCAGCAGTGCAATTGCTGGGTCATAGGGCAGGTCTATTTTTAACTCTTTGAGGAACCTCCAGTTCACATTCCCACCAACAGTGTAAAAGGGCTCCCCTTTCTCCACATCCTCTCCAACATTTGTGATTTCCTTTCTTGTTAATTTTCCCCATTCTCACTGGTGTGAAGTGGTATCTCATTGTGGTTTTGTTTGTGTTTCCCTGATGGCCAGTGAAGTGGAGCATTTCCTCATGTGCTTTTTGGCCATGTCTTTGTCTTCCTCTGTGAAATTTCTGTTCATGTCTTTTGCCCATTTCATGATTGTGGTTCTATTCTTAGCCTTCTTTTTGTTTAGTCTACCATTTTCTCTGGGAGTTATAATTTCTTCCCATGGCTTCAACTACCTCCTAAATGGTGATGACTTCCGGTATTATAGCTCCAGCTCAGCTCCCCCACCCGAACTCCAGGCTCACATATTCATCATTACTGATTCATCAATTCATATCCAATTCATATCCATGTACTTATTTTGGGCATCCATAGGTTTCTCAAATTTCTTAAAGTAATTATGTATAAAACTGAATTGTTTACCCTCCTCTCACCCATGAGTGCATCCTTCATCACTACATGGTATAGTGATTTATACCATCTATCTAGTTGCACAAGCAAGCAGAGCGCTCAGTAATAATTCCTGACTCTTCCCTTTGCTGTTTCATCCATCTGACCACCAGTAAACTTTGTATGGGATCCAACTACTTTGAATCATCATTGCTTCTACTTTGGCTTAGGTCCTTATCATGTTTCACCTAGTGAAACCTCTCTGGTATCCATGATATTCAACTTGTCTTCTTACTTGTCTTTTGCATTATTGCCCAGAATTATTGTAAGAAATATGTCCCTTACCTGTTACTAAAATCCTTCTTTGAGTCCCCATGATCTTCAGGATAGTCTAATTTTTTTTTGCATGGCATATGGATCTTTATGTTCTCTGGCCTTTTGTGACCTCTCCACTTTCTCTCTCACTGTGAACTCAATGTGGCAGCCATTCTCAACAGGCTGAAAGTTAAAGGCCCCCAAAGTACTCCATTGCCTTTACGTGTAGGGCTTCCTGCAGGTAGTGCTTTCTTTTTCCCATTTCTTAAGTAGGAGTCCAGAAGTCCCTCAGTGTAGTATTTTCTAGTCTTCTCCACTTATTCTCTCTGGGCTTGGGTTATTTTTTAAAGATTTTATTTATTTATTCATGAGAGACCAGAGGGAGAGAGGGAGAGAGAGAGAGAGAGAGAGAGAGAGAGAGAGAGAGAGAGGCAGAGACACAGGCAGAGGGAGAACCAGGCTCCATGCAGAGAGCCCAATGTGGGACTCAATCCCGGGTCTCCAGGATCACACCCTGAGCTGAAGGTAGCACTAAACTACCACCTGAGCCACCTGGGCTGCCCAGGATTTTAAGGTCTTCTTCTGTGTTCCTATAGCACTCTGTGTGTGTGTGTGTGTGTGTGTGTGTGTGTGTGTGTGTGTATTTAAAGTAATTATCTGTTTTTCTGCCTCATTGGAATAAGAACTTCTTGGAGCCACTGAGGTATCATGTCCATCTTTGCATCCTACACTGGGCACATAATTAGAAAACAAAAATGTCTGTTAATGAATGGATGAATCAATAAAAGGCTAAATAAACATCCTCTCTCCCTTGTCTTCTTACAACTTTATTTGGAATCCGTTTCCTCAATACAAATGGTCTTATTTTATTTCATTTTAGTGTTCTGCCAATGGGTTTATGACCCAGACAGTCAACAACTCTGGCCAAGGCTTTTGCGGTACTATGGGATCAGGAGTGAAAAATGGAGGTCAGGAGACCATTGAAATGGTGAAAGGTGGACACCAGACACTGGAATCGTGCCGGGGAACCGGGCATCATCACACCCTGGATTCCTGCAGAGGAGGACCCACAGAGGTGGACAACTGCAGATACACCTACTCCGAGTGGCATAGTTTCACTCAGCCCCGTCTTGGTGAAGTGAGTTTTCCTGAATGTTTTGCATCTGCAATTTAAATGAACAATAGGAAATTGAAGTTAACATAAAGTTTCCACAGATGTTTTTGCATATTTTTCAATGTATCCTTTCTCTTCCACTCTCTGGTCATTCCCCGCATGGCCCCCACCAAACGTGCTTCGATGTTGTCACATTGTTTAACATAAGAGAGATCTAATCCCATCTGTCCCATTTCTTTTAATTTCTAAAATCTCATGAGAATTGGAAATTTCTAATATCACCACTAAAGTTGCATGCTGTTTATAGATGTTATTTACCTCCTGAACTATTTTAATATAGAGAAATGTGAAAAAAAAAATCTCATTCCCTCTAATCACAAAACTCCCCCAATCAAATCTGTATTTCTCTCTGAAAACAAAACGTTCGTACACAATTCTAGGGGGTATGTTAAGTAATATGAGTTATAGGAACTATACTTAATGTAAAAAGCACTATTCAAATATAAAGTGTTTTTATTCAGGGGAAAGCAAGGATATAAAAGAAAAGAGGGATTAAATCATGGATTTTGTCCTGGCAACACATCAAAATCCCCTGGGAAGCTTTTAAATGCTCCACCTTGAAAGATTTGCATTTAATTGGTTTGGCTTTTTATTATTATTATTATTTTTAAAGCTCCTCAGGTGATGCACATGTACCACCTGGGTAGAGAAAGCACTGGATTAAATATTCTATCTGGGACTAAGTTTTCTTTTTATCAGAGTGTACTGATACTATTGTAACACCTACAGTGGACCAGAACCCTTAATCCTTTAATGGACTGCAGATAGCATCATTCTGTGCTGCAGCTGTAGCTTATCACATGTCCATAGCATTTTTTCCCATCAAATTCAAGTGTTCATCTCTTTTCTAAAAGTTTCTATTCAATATTCATGTAAGGTCAGGTTGGGAAATAGTGGAGCCTAAGAAGTGCTCTTAAGGGTGTCCTTTAATGTGCACAGCAGATAATGGGATATGAGGCTGGAATGGTTGTGAAGAAAGGCACTTGGTAACATAAGCCAAAGAAAGAAACTGTAGTTAGTGAGGAGTGAGGAGGAAGGAGCCGAAGGAGTTCGATAGGTTGGCAGAGAGGCGGGTAGCAGCCAGTGAGGATGGCTGTAGCTGAATGCTTGTCCACTCCATTCCCAAGGCCTGGTTTTTGCAACGTGGGTGATGTTGATTCTTTCTAATTTCACTAAAATGCTTTGTGCATCTCTCTACTTTTGTCACGTTTGGGCTGTCTTGGAAACTTGATTCTGAAGCCAATGTGGTAATTCTTGCCTACTTTATTAATTGCACGTTTATTGAATATTTACTGTGTGCTGGGCAAAATAAGAGTATTCTATTTCATCCGTATTGTGAGATAGTCACTGTGTATATTCCTGTTTTAGACATAAGGAGAGTTAGAAGTAAGACTTCAAGATGTGTAGTAACTTGCCCAAAGTCATATACATAGTGACTAAGCAGAGATATGACTCAGAGTCAGGACTGTTCAAATATCCAGAATCAAATTCTTAACTGCCTGCCATGCATACTGTCACCATTTTGTGGGTTAGCCTCACCTCTCGGTACAAAATTTAGATTAAGCATTTAATGCTAATTTAAATGTACTTAAATATAACATTTGTATATATGTAATTTTTAAAATTTATATTGATTACTAGAAATGTAAAATATACTGACTTTGTGGTACGGTTGTGATATCAACCAATCATGTGCATTTTTTGTATGTAGGACTCCATTAGAGGACACACTGGTTAGAAATTAAACATAAAAGGTAAATAAAAAAATAAATTTTATGTTCATATGTTTAAGAGTGTTTAAAACAATAATAGAATCCTTTTTTTTACTTTATAGAAATTGCATCTGTGTAACCAGAATGAAGATCACATGCCATCTCAAGATTATGTCCTTACATATAACTATGAAGGAAGAGGATCTCCAGCTGGTTCTGTGGGTTGCTGCAGTGAAAAACAGGAAGAAGATGGCCTTGACTTTTTAAATAATTTGGGAGCCAAATTTACTACATTAGCAGAGACATGCACAAAGAGATAATGTTAAAGTGCTACAATTAGACATGTATTTGCCAAACATTCTAGAGGTTTCCAAAGGCAAAGGGATATTGTAAAGTTCAATTTCAATTTCTAATATATATAAAGATACATATAGATATATTTCTAATATATCTATACATTAAAAAAATACATATAACTTTCTGAATTTTGGATTGTACTATTTACCAAGTTGTATTTTTATAGCAATTTGTTGCTAATGTTTTCCAAGGAATTTGAAATGTTAAAATGTCTCTTGTCTTCTTTACTGCCAAGTAAATAGACAGCTGGTAGATCTCATGCTGTAGCATTTGAATTAAGGTCTATAAAGGACCTGCCATTCTTCATAGACACTGTACCAATAAATGTGTTAGGTTAATATTAGTCCAATGATAGCTAAGCTGTACTTGATTGAATATAGAATAGCTATGTGGGCTAGAAATTCTGTTCTTTTTCCAGATTTAGATTTAAGTCGAATAGGATTATATCAAACATTTTGTTAAATTATATCGCATTTTTTAGCTCTTTAAAGAATCAGTACCACCAAGTTGGTAGCTCCAGAGAGTACTAGAATTTCATTTTCCTTCTGGCTAGCAACTAGATCATGAAGAGCAGGTCTATCTACTTGACTGCCCCAGTAAGGTCTTAAAAATATGATGTTAGACTACACTGTAATCATATTTTTAATGAAAAATACCAAAGACCTATTGAGATTGTAATCACAAGTCTTAACATCTTTTTCCCTGAGATTCAGGACTACTATTGGTAATGTGCAGTGATGAACATTATGCTGAGAAAAAGTTGTTTTTCTTCTTTTTAATATCGTACTTTCATGTTTTTATTTTGCAAGTTTAGCACATCTGGCTTTTTATTTTCTCTCAATAGTAGTTATTTGCAATTAGAATATGTTTTCCTTAGACGGAGTATGCCGTGCCACACATTCTGAAGAAACAGACCTTGTCATAGTTATGCGTAGCAATGAGGGCTGAGTGTGCATTTCCTTTCACTATCATTTTCACATAAATTGCTCCTTATTAAAGCAGATAAATATTTTAAAATGCTATAAACAATCAAAAGAACCCCTCGGAGCATTTTAATAGCTTTCAAACTGTTGCTTAAAATTTTGTGCTGCTCAGATTTGTTCATGTGATAGAGCCTCTGCAAAGGACTTGCAAAAAAACCCTAAAGAGAAGGTGTTTAAACTTAAAATAATTAACACCTAATCCTATGCAGAATCTCATATCACATTGTTGTATACTCACTTCATGCGTTAGTTTAAAAAATAGAGAAGAAATATTATGTATCACCAATTGAAGAACATTTTGGAAGAGAAACAAAACTAAATTAACTTAAAAATTTTGCAGCTGTGACGAATTGTGACATTGCCACTACATGGGCTAACTCACACAGTGAGCCTCACAGTCAAATAAAGAATGGTGGGCAATGTTCAATATGAATATAGGCTTACCTGACTTTTTCTTTTTCTTTTTCTTTTTCTTTTTCTTTTTCTTTTTCTTTTTCTTTTCTTTTTCTTTTCTTTTCTTTCTTTCTCTTTCTCTTTCTATATATATAATATATATATATATATATATATATATATATATATAGAGAGAGAGAGAGAGAGAGAGAGAGAGAGAGAGAGAAGAGAGAAGAGAGACAGTGGTATCCCCTGCTTTTCAAAAGTTTGTGTTTCACAAAGACCTACATTAGCAACTGTTTTTGCTAACCTGATGATACCTGAAGAAGATTTGCACTTATATGAATAAAGACAAAAGTGAAAATAGCATTTAGGGCTTGTCTTGCAGTAAGCCTTAGGGAGGCAGCGTGCACCCGGAGCAGAGAGCCGCCTTGCCAAGCACCTTCCCCAGGAACTGTACTGTTTCTCAGCATCCACTGCCAGGGCTTTGAATGGCGTCTGCAAGTGTCTGGGCTTGATCTCCATTTATTTTGTGCATCCCTTAGTAAAATGTGTCCTAAGGTATCAGAAAAGCCGAGGAACGGTTAATTTTTGGATCTGACAACACTAAAAAGATTTCCATATAAATGAATGGTGATTGCTTCTTTGCTCTCTGCCATTTTGGCTTAGAAAGTTTTCATAGAAATGCTATAAGGGTAAACACACACACACATGCACACAAATAAATAAATATATATTTATATAAAACTATTAGTGCAATGTTTAAAATAAAATGAAAACCAAAGAGGAATCTGATAAAATAAGGTAGGTGTGTCCTACAGTAGGAATCCAGGATTTTAAAAAGAGAGCCTCTTAGCCTTTGGTCTTGTGCTGCAGAGCTGAGCATATCAGAAGATAGTTCACGTACATTTGCATAATTTCTTTAAAATCGTATACAGCTAATTAACCTTCTCTGGTTTCAGTGGAAAGGAAGGAGGCAAGTAAGTGGAACAGTAGCTTTGCTTTGCAGTTTGGTTCTGCATGCACAAACTGGCAAAAGCTGTTAGAGCTAGGGCTGCCTGACTTCCAGTGGCAAAGTTCCAGAGATGCAGTGCTTTTCTTGGAGCTAATACTGAAAGCTTTTTAAAACCTAATTCTGGAAAAAGGATTCTATCACCATTTTCTTTTTCTCTCTTATCTACCAACATTTTAAAAATTCAGAGCCAAATAGCCATATTCCGGTGGTCAGATTTCAGGGGATAAAGGGAACAGGGTGAGAGCACAAATCTTACTGAAGGGACCAAGAGGGGCATGACCATCCTAAGACTCCTTGCCATTTGCTGTGTTCTAATTTGAGCCTGGAAATTGTAAAATGCCATTTCCCCACTCACTTCCCTGTTTTAAACTGGCATAGTGGATCAAAGACATCTAGCCCTCCCATCAGTCCCCTTTCTTTAACCTCTCTCCCAGTGTTGCCAGTAACACTTAGGTGGCAAATGCTCCAGGCTGTCAATCACCCTATAGTTTGACTTAATTTTTCTTTTTTTTTTTTTTTTTTTTAACTTATGATAGTCACAGAGAGAGAGAGAGAGAGGCAGAGACACAGGCGGAGGGAGAAGCAGGCTCCATGCACCGGGAGCCCGATGTGGGATTCGATCCCGGGTCTCCAGGATTGCGCCCTGGGCCAAAGGCAGGCGCCAAACCACTGCGGCACCCAGGGATCCCTAGTTTGACTTAATTTTTATGCGATTTCTTTCTTACAAGGATTTTTCAAGTTAATAGAAGAAACAGGCATTTTGAATACAGGAAAGAAAAAACTTAGTCATCATTTGAGAACACAGGGAGCTTAGGGAGAGTGCAAGCCCAAGTAGGATATTTGGACAGTCAGCAACATGAAAACCCAGGCCTTGAAGGGCAAGTAGAGAGCCAACAAAGGGACACTGGTAGTAAAGACAACACTGCTACTTAAGTTTTCTTAGGTCAGACCCTCCCTTTTGCTGCTTTTCTCAGGCCAAAGGCAGCTCCCATTTGAATTTAGGGGAATATTACCAACCCTTTCTCCATACCTCACCTTATTTGGAGTGTGGAATCAAGGGAAGGGCTTGCATGACTGCGTGATGCATCTGCAGGCATTTACAGGATGGGCCCGAACTGGCTGTGCAGAACAATCAAGGCATTCATGGGGAATACTTTCTTCCTTATGCAGTCCTCTGGGCACTGAGATAGAAGGTGTTCAGTTAAGTGTGTTTCTAAATTGTTTACCTGATGCCACATTTCCTGTTTTCTTATTTTCCCCCTGAAATCTAGATTTTCAGACCTAGGCTTTTAAAAGGGTGCTTTTCCTTTTATAGTCTTATGTTTAATGTAAACATTTTTAACATGTGGTATTCTTTCCTTTTATGTGTAAGGGGGAAATTATGTTATTTCAGTGTGAAAATAGCTTTCATTTTTTCCAGTGAATATTCTTGAATTTTTAATGTAAATGTACAGATTGTTTTTTTCATATTTTTATAAGGAAGCAGTCTAAATGTCTAAAATGCAGTGAGGTTTGGTTTGCAGCATTTTTAATAGAACTTTAAGTATGCTATTAAGAGAAGTTACTTTGCTTTTAAAGAAACCTGGCAGGTTAAAATAAGTAAAAAGGGGATGTGTAAAGTAATAGATGCAGATACAGGATGTAATAAAACTGTTAACTCCATATCTTGTCTTTGCTATCTTTAATGATTAAATGATTCCAAGATGAACTGTTATAAAATTGTGCTTAAGACTGGCAGGAAAATAGATCCTTGATAATGTCTTCCTTATATTCCTGGGGAATATTTTAGAGAATGAATCATTACCAAGTGGTCAACATTATCTATATATTAAACTATGTGTGGGGGGATATCACTATTTGGGGCACAGCTTTCCAAATTATATCAAAAATCTGTACCTCTCTCTCTGTCTGATTTTTATTGGGTAAAGAAGTATTGGAAGGTAGTTGTAATTGTAGAGTGTTCCAGAAATAAAATGCTGTCATAGCATTCTGACTTGGAGCAGCATATTCAAGGGGAAACATTAGGAGTTAACAACAACAACAACAACAACAAAAAAAAAAAAGGGCAAGAGGTATTCTAGTCTTTGTTCTGTCACTTACAGAATATATGACCTTTTAACTGTGTTCACAACCAAATTATGGTGCTGTGTATTTCACAGTGAATCTTTTCCCTGGGTGTGTGAGTGCTTTCCCACAAAGGTAAGGCTGCTGACCCATTTCAAAATAGACGCGTATCAAAAGCTTTACATTGTAGTGTAACTTGAACAACAATCTCAATTTCAGGAACTTTTATTGTGATTATTATTTTTATGTCTGAATATTTGTTTTAAAAAATGTTTATTGAAATTTTGTTTCTGATATCAAACAATTCAGAAAATTCCAAGCATCCAGGAGAATTGACTTGGTTAAATATTGGCTCATAGCGATATGTTTCAGGTATATAAGCAATAAAACCATGTAGTTGAATATACTGTAACATCTAATCTGTCTTTAGGGAAGAGTTTATGCATATATATATATATATATACATATATATAAAAGATCTGAACAGATTCTTTTCAGATAATGGAATTATGGTAGATTTGTATTTTGTATTCATTTTCTATGATGAGCAGTGATAACATTTTAAAAATTTTTTAAGGGTTAATCCCGGCTCCAGACAATTTCTTTATGGCTCTTGTATTAGGATTGATTAAGGTTGGCTGCGTGGACAGAAAACCAGATGGCCAGTGACTTAAATGAATAGGATCCAGATTAAGTTTGCAGGTCTCGCTATTCCGATTGCTTATTTTGATGCCATCAATTTGAGCCTCAGAATTTTTGTTTCCTCTTTCCTGCTGTTTTCCCTTCAATTATGGTAACATTCACATAGCATAAAATTCACCTGCTCAAGCCATTTTAACAATTCGATTTTTAAGTAATCTCTACCCAACGTGGGGCTCAAATATACAACCCTGAGATCAAGAGTCACATTGCTGCGGGGACCCAGCCAGCCAGGTGCCTCTACTTGAACCATTTGAAAGTGTACAGTTCAGGCATTCCTGGGTGGCTCAGCGGTTTGGCGCCTGCCTTTGGCCCAGGGCGCGATCCTGAAGACCCGGGATCGAATCCCACGTCGGGCTCCCGGTGCATGGAGCCTGCTTCTCCCTCTGCCTGTGTCTCTGCCTCTCTCTCTCTCTCTGTGACTATCATAAATAAATAAAAAATTAAAAAAAAGTGTACAGTTCAGTGACATTCATTCGGAATGCTGTGCAAGCAGAACGTTTTTATCCTTCAGTTTCCAAAAAGCAAACCTTTTAAGCCGCCTTTCCCCTTTCCCCACTCCCTTCGCTCTTGGCAACCACTAATCAGCAGGCAGGAGAATGGTGGTTGCCAGGGGCTGGGTGGGGGGAGCCGGGGAGTCACTGTTCCATACGGACAGTTTGTCCTGTACGATGAAAACGCGACGCCGCCGTGCCATGGTTAACATCACCGTCCTGGGCGCGCCAACCTTGGTTGAGGGCAGGTCTCAGGTTAAGTGTGTCTCACCACAATGGAAAATAACACCAATGAGAGGAAAATAGTTGCCTTCAAGATGAACTGGTTTTGCAGTGTTCTTTGGGCGTTGCCAGAAGTCCTCGGGGTGGCAGGGGCTGGGTGCCCTTGCCTGCACCTCCCCAGCTCCCAGTGCCTTGCTTCCTTCGCGTGGAGGAGCGTGGAGGACGCGCCCTTAAGCTGTGCTCGAGCGTGAGCAGGTAGAGACACCGGAGCTGCACAAACATGTGGCCGGTGCCAGGCTCTGGCACTGCTGTTGTTCACGTGACTCCAAGAGCAGAAGGATCTCCGGAAGCCAGTTTGAAAAAAGCGCGACATTGGCAGAAATACCTGCAGCCTACCTCGTCCACAATGGTTCTCTGTCTCCCGTGTACCGTGCAACCACAGTGGGAGGCTCATCTGCGCTGTGAACAGTATGAGCCAGCAGTGCACAGCCCTGGAAGCGAACAGATACAATATGATGCCCGCGGACACCCGAATAAATTACTAGA